TAAAGAGAATAGATTTTATCAAACAACGGCAGGGAAATCCTTCAATTCTAATCCACTTTGGGTTTTCAGCTGTATTTATATCTAAAGCAATAGACTAGAACTGAATTCTCTTCTACATTGTAAAATCACAACTGTGGATATCAGGAATTCTGGTGATGATATTAAGGTGAAATAACCAAAAACACCAACAAACAAAAGGCCCTATTTTAACAATTGACATGATAGGAAATTTTAATAGGAGAGAGAACCTATAACTTTATTTTGACAATGTTTCCCCACAAATAAGGGCTTTTCCTTTAAAGGAGCCAGATGAATTACAAGATGTAGAAGAGGCAGCTGTAAAACTTGATCTTCCAAGTACCCCAAATACCTTTATTGAGCTTGATCATAACACTGTCAAATTGCCATGAGTCTCACTAAAGGATTTCTATTTGCTGTCAGAAATAAAACCCTGAATACATTTTTATTCTTCTACTGAGTGCATTGTCTGTTTTCTTTGTAAATGCAGTACATAAACAAATTATTTAATAACTTACATGTGTCCAGAAGATTTTTATTCATTTGTTGCCCAAGTTGGTCTGCCCCAGCAGTTGGAGGAAAGGATTGGTGGTTGAGTATGCTTTTTGAACTGAAAGATGCGATGAAACTACAATTGAACTCTTGCCATTTGGGGGGGGGGTTGTAGTTTTGCTACTACTACCTTTGAATTGGGATTGGAGTGGAATTAAAGTACATTTGGGGCGGGCTGTGCTCACGCGCTGTAATCCTAGCTCTTGGGAGCCGAGGCGGGGCGATTGCTCAAGGTCAGGAGTTCAAACCAGCCTGAGCAAGAGCGAGACCCGTCTTACTATAAATAGAAGAAATTTGGCCAACTGATATATATATAAAAATTAGCCGGGCATGGTGGCGCATGCTGTAGTCCCAGCTACCGGGAGGCTGAGGACAGAGGATCCTCGAGCCCAGGAGTTTGAGGTTGCTGTGAGCTAGGCTGACGCCCGGCACTCACTCTAGCCTGGGCAACAAAGCGGCTTCTGGTTCAAAAAAAAAAAAAAAAAAATAAAGTACATTTGGGTTTTTTTCCCTCAAATTGTAAATGCAGTGTGTGTAAAATGCAGATGACTTGGAAATGTAAGCTCTTCATAAGGCACTGGCATTGTGAACGCTATGACACACAGGCTTCGTACACTTGTCTGATTTATTTCTTAGGATAAATTCTTGGAATGTCTGAGCCAAAGAGTAAGCACATGTTTAAGGCTTTTAATAAGTATAGCCCAACTCACCTAGAGAACAGTTGGACTATTTCCCTGTCTACTATTGTAATCTCATTTTGTTCCTAATAGCTAGTTTGCCAAAAAAAGGGGAGTATCATGTTTTAATTTTTATATTGGATTACTTGTGAGGTTAGAGACTTGTTTCATGGGTTCTATTGGCCATTTGTATTTTTTTGTTATTTGCCAAAAATACCCAGCTTTCTTTTGGAGTACTTCCCGATTTGCGGGCTTGGTCAGGACTTGTTACATATTAAAGGTAATGAATTTTTGTCATTTTTGCTATATATCTTGTGCAGTTTTTAATTTGCTTTTCATTTTTATTTGTGGCATTTTAGTATTATTTATAGAAAGTCTTTCCCCACCTACATGAACTGTTCTAGTTGATTTGTTTTAGTTGTGTAATACTTAAGATATGCAGTGTTTTCATAATGTTGACCAAAATGCAACCTATTGGGATTCATCAAATCAATATGTTCACCAGCCTGACCAACATAGGCAGGCCCTCTAAGCCTTGCGTTAAATGTATGGACCTAGAATTCCCAGCATTTGGGGAAACCTTAGTGCTATTGTAGGAGAGCTTCTCGCTATCTCAGAAGAACCAGCAAACTTAGGTGGAGTCACAACCCCACCTTTAATTCTTAATTTGCTGGCCCTGAGTGTCCACTGGGAAACCATTTAGCTGCTCCATGGCAGACCCAGGTTATAGATGAACTTCATTACTACCCATTCTTTTACTTTTGAAACCTATCGTCTTCCAGTTCAGCCTTATGAGAAAAGTGCTTTGCTCTTAGACAACGGTATTACAGAAAATTGGTGATTTACTGAAAGTAGAATCTGAACTTAACATTTGCTTAAAATTAAGTAAGAATATTAATATAGAAAAATGACTGTAAATCTTGAGGCTTACTGAGAAGTTTTTGTGTCACTAAAGACATTTTTAAAAGTTGAGTTAAAAAAAAAACTAGATATATAATACGCATTTAAGTATTCACAGAAACTAATCCATATGAAATCCTTGTGATACCAGAGAAATAGCCCAGTTAAAAAGCCAAACAATTTGAGATATTCTAATATATAGATGTTCAATTTGATTTTATATTCTTCCAGGTTCCCTTTTTGTCATAATCTCTCCCTTTTGTCCTTATTCAGATCTAGTTTTTGGCCATTTTAATACAGTCACAAGACTTGTCCTCCAAATAGCAGAACTGGACTATTTATAGAAACCCTTTAGCTGCCTGCAGATTGTGCCACTAAGACATTGTTTTTCCATTGGTTGCTTTGGATTCATTAGGTATAGAGGAGGGAGTGTGGTTGGTGTTGGAAATAAATTTAGTGGCCCCTATTCTAAATCCTCTGAGGATGGATAACAAAAGTGGGATGAGTTTTCCGGGTTGGAGTGCTGCTTCCATCTTCAACTTATGAAACAAACACATATCCAGGTATCCATCAGCATGTAAAGCTGCCAGAATCTAATCTTTGTTCCAGGAGTGGATTATTTTTGGTAGAGACAGGGTCTTGCTATGTTGCCCAGGGGTCTCAAACTCCTGGCCTCCCAAAGTGCTGAGATTACAGGCATGAGTTACCAGCCCCAGCCGAAAAACAACTTTTCACTCTGTCGCCCAGGCTATAGTGCAGTGGTGTCATGGTAGCTCATTGCAGCCTCAAACTCCTGGGCTCAAGGGATCTTCCTGCCTCAGCCTCCCAAGTAGTTGGGAATATAGGCCTATGCCACCACGTCCTGCTAATTTTTCTATTTTTTGTAGAGACAGGATCTTGCTCTTGCTGAGGCTGGTCTCAAACTCCTGACCTTAAGGAATCCTCCCACCTTGGCCTTCCAGAGAAATGAGCCAGCACACCTGGCTGGAAACTTTTAAAAGGGCCCCAATGATTCCCACCTCCTGGTATTCATGTAATGCCCTTGCCTTGAATCTGGGCTGGGCTTTGTGAGTGTCCTAACAGAATAGGGCAAAAGTGATGGAATGTCACTGGAGAGACAGTTACATAGGGGCTGTTGCTTCTCTGTGTGTACACTCTTGTTCAGTCTTGCTGTTTTGGAACCCTTGTTCTAGGGAAGCAAGCTGCCATATGAGTAGCCCTGTGGGGAGGCCAACAGCCAGCAAAGAACTGAGACCCTCAGTCCCAACAACCTGTGAGAAATAATCCTGCAAACTACTGAGCTTGGAAATGGGTACAACAAAAGTGCAGCCTTATCAGAAACCTTTAGGCAAAGACTCTTAGCCCTACTGAGATTCCTGATTCACAGAAATTGATTATATATATATATAATTTGTTAAGCCATTGAGTTCTGGGTTAATTTGTTATGCAGTAATAGGTAACTAATACAGCGTTGTAAAGTAATGAAAGCATTTAGGATATCCTCTGAACCCACATTTCAGCTATAAACGACGGGTCCTTCCTCTCTTGACCATGTCTGCTCAGGGCTAGTCATTATCAGTGAAACGTGGGTGCCACCACCAACTCTATACCCCAGCCCAAGGCAGAGACAAGCCAGAAGTGAGAAAGGAGTGAGGTGACTCAATGAGAGGAGTGCTGATTTTGTTGATTTTTGTTCTATATACTTTCAAAGAGCAATAAGATTTTGAGATGCCTTTAAGAATTTAAAGGTAAAATGACTTTAAGAGAGCTGATAAACAGTTACTAGGTATCTGAACAAAAATCATTACTGTTATTAGGTTGAATATTGAGTTTCTTTGATGATAAAGCAAAAACCCCGAAATGCTGGGTCATTTGACTGACAAACAGATTTGCAGGTCCCTCCCCAGCACTGGTCACTAGCAAACATCAAGTGCTTTGGTGAAACTCGGCTGCTCCTGGTGAGAGCAAGGTGTGGGCTGTAGATGCAGGGCCCCAGCCCGAGTAGCTTCTGTGGACTGCTCTAGTTGCTATTTCAGTGAGAAATGTTTTGAGGATAGAGAGACTTTTAGAAACTTTTCTTGTACCTCTTTTAAAAAGTTCTGAGAAATAACTGAACAAATATAGATAGAAAAGTCACTAAGCTACAGAATGAATTTCAAATTCTGTCATTCATCAAGCTTGCATAAGAAGGTAGCTGACTATGAATTAAATACTTTTATCAGCAAAAGAAAATATAAATTTGATCATTCTTGCAAAACAGTTACTGTGGACCAAGTGACAAGGTCAAATCTCAAAACAGTTCCCACCACCAGCGATTTAACTGTGACAATCTAGGTTACTCATTCCTAGCCAATCTGAATTTAGGAGGAAACAGTACCCTGGCCATGTTGTCCAGGTGCATTGGCCAAACACACCCCGGCAGCCACGGATAAGAAAACTGTTCCCATGTCATTGCTGCTTGATTGAGCAACTAGATGCATTACAGTTTTGTTCAGCATTTACTGTCTCTCCACCTGGAGGAGTACAGTGCACCCAGGTAGTTTGTTTACCAAATAACTATAAATGGAAAGAGACTAGAAAAAACACCTGCTCCTCAGAATCATTCACTGCAGTCAACAAATCTCTTTTTCTATGCACCATCCTCCAGGTGGGGGCAGCCTGAAGGACTTATCTTTATCTTGGCTTTTGCTGTGATGAAAGATTGAGTCCCCCTCTGGAACTGGGCAGAAGATTCACTATTTAGTAGCCAGCCCTCCGTATCTGCAAGTTCTACATCCACAGATTCAACCAACCACAAATGAAAATACTTAGAAAAAAAATTGCAATAAAAATACCAATAATACAGTATAACAACTTATTTATATAGCATTTACATTGTATCAGGTATTATAAGAAATCTAGAGGTGATTTAAAGTATATGGGAGGATATGCATAGATTTTATGAAAATACTACACATTTTGTGTAGTATCCATGGATTTTGCTATCTGAGGGTGGTCCTGGAACCAATCCCCCACAGATACTGGGGGATAGGTAAGCCAAATCCAATTTTTTTTTTTTTTTTGAGGAGAAGGAAAGAGGAGTTTATTAATTTACCAGCAAATGAGGAGGTTAGCAGACTCCCATCTCAAAGTACCAGTATCCTCTAAAATTTTTGATAAGAGATGTCATTTATTCCTATAACAAATTATTGAACATAAGTAACAAATTTTTGAAGCTGGCAGCCAGTTTGGGTTGAGTTAGTGTGGACACTTATAAGGAAATGTGATATTTGGTTCCCAGCAGGAAAAAGTCAAATTAGTCCCAAGAGTAACTAGTCTCCTATCACCCCGTATTACAAAACTTTCTGATGGATGTCAAAGGATTCAGGTTCTGGCGGCCAGCAACAAGAAAACAAAACTTGGGAAGGGAGGAGCAAAGGACTCCCTAAACCTCAACCCAAAATGACCCAACACGCTTCCAGCCACCCCTTCTCCAGCAGCCGTTGCACGGTGGCTGGGCGTGACTGTGTGTGTGAGCTGTCACAGACACCTGGGAGGGCTGCCCTGGAGATAGGCTCGCACAGTCCTGTCACTTCACTGAGGAGAAGCCTCAAGAGGGCAACGTGGTTTGCTGGTGTGAGGCAGGAAGAAGAGAACTTGGGTCTCCTAGGTGAGCGCTCCCATGCCACTCAGCCTCTGGATATGTTTATTCGGTGTGGGCCACCTGAAGGAGTACACAGAAGGAGGTCTTGTCTTGGGAGACTGTCCGGTTGAAGCTTTAGGCCTGTGGTAGCCAGGGCCAAGGAAGCTTCTAAGGAACAAGTTCTTATCTCTGAAGAATTAGATTCTCTAATTTTCCATGTCTGAGAAATAGGCAACCTGTAGATAAGAAAAGCAAAATAACAAAAGATTACAAGATTATAAAGTTTGACATTTTAAAAACCAATAAAAAAAAAAACCCACAGCCCCATGTATGCTCATGTTTTTACTTTGGTTTTACTTAGACATGAATTTCTTCATGTGTAAGGTAGTATTGACTGTCCCTCAAGTAAAAACTTATGCCTTTTAAAATGTAGTGCCAATAATAATAACAACGATAAGGCAGACATAGAGGTATAGTTGCCCTTTGATTTAGTAATTCCACTCAGGATTTTATCAACAAAAATAAAAAGTTAATATGCATAATGGCAACCCTAAATGTGTAATAATCAAGGTTTGGTTTAAGAAAAAGTGATACATCAATGCTGTGGATTTTGCGGCTTTAGCAAACTGTAATAATGAACATTGCAGAAACGTGCGGAAAAAGGTTGTGCCCTAAACCATGGCTATCCCGAGTGTGGTCCCGCCGCAGCAGCCTCACCTGGGCGTCTGCGGAATCGGCGCCTCAGCGAGGCCCCCAGCTGGCTGTGTGCGCGTGCAAGTGTGAGAGTCCTGCTCTGATAAGTGGGGGGGGAGGCTAACAGTTTTATTTATAATTACTCAAAAAAAATATGTTTTTGTGGTCAAGAATTGGAGGGCACTTTGTAAAAATTAATGCCATTTAAATGGAGATAGACCCTCCTACCCACACGGAGTGCCGGCCTGCGGGAGGCCCTCAACACTGGCAGCTGGTAGAGAGTGACGCTGTTGTGCCGGCTCTTTTTCTTTTCTTAATGCATTCCTTAATGTTCTTGTTAAGTCACATTTTGGAAACGTATGGGAAAATAAAGAAACTAACATGCTGCACTTCTTTTTGAGCCAGTATTAAAACTGGTTAACTCGTTGTTTTTCTCTTTGCTTTGGCTACCAGGAAGCACAGCTAAATTTAACACTCAACAGGGTAATACTGTTAGCCTACCTGTCCTGAATATTTGTTTTTCTCTCTATGATTTTTCTTTTCTATTTTATTAGGTTTTCCAGTATGTTTCTTACAAATCACTTAAAATTCTCTCTGAAAATAAGAGTCCAAATTACAGTAATGACTTTTGAAAACAGTCTGTTCCTGTTTGCCGGGTTCTACAACAGTATGAGTTTCTGAAACTGGCCACCTGCCTGTCTTAAGTCATTTCTTCTCCCTGTTCTTGCTCCCTGTTTGCTCCCCAGTGAAGGTCTCAGATGCCAATAGCTCCTGTCCTGGGGGGCTTTGCTCCTGTCTCCCCAGGCAGCGCGGAGCCCCTGCAGCCCCGCCCTTGAGTCATTCGTAAGGAAGGAGAGAGGCCGACCCGTAAGGCACAGCCCGCTCTCCGCAGCAGTACTCACCGCACCTCCAGCTGCTTCAGACTTCCTCTGCAATGAAGGAGAGAACAGCACGCGTTTACAACCAAACCTCGTTTTTAGGGTAGTTGCCTGCGCGCTCCTCCATCGCCAAGCTAGATCAGATCCCTCTGATTCGCTCTCAAGAAAGCTTTGTTCATAGTCTATCAGCTTGTAGTTCTGGATTGCGCAACCCCCCCTCATCAGACCATAAGCTCCGATTCACACCTCGCTCCCCACTGTACCCTCAGTGCCTGGCCTGCGACCAGGGCACAGGAGCTGTTACTGCTTGGGCAGGCGGGTGATACAAAAAGCAGAGACACTGGAAAGAGAATAGGGACAGAACTAATATTTGAGACTTTTTTTTTTTTTTTTTTGAGACAGAGTCTCACTCTGTTGCCCCGGCTAGAGTGAGTGCCGTGGCGTCAGCCTAGCTCACAGCAACCTCAAACTCCTGGGCTCAAGCAATCCTGCTGCCTCAGCCTCCCTCCTGCCTCAGCCTCCCTCCTGCCTCAGCCTCCCGAGTAGCTGGGACCACAGGCATGCACCACCATGCCCAGCTAATTGTTTCTATATATATTAGTTGGCCAATTAATTTCTTTCTATTTATAGTAGAGACTGGGTCTCGCTCTTGTTCAGGCTGGTTTTGAACTCCTGACCTTGAGCAATCCGCCCGCCTCGGCCTCCCAAAGTGCTAGGATTACAGGCGTGAGCCACCTCGCCCGGCCTAGAACTAATATTTATGAATCGCCTATAATGTGCAGACATCGTTAGTGCTTTGTATACGCTATCGGATCCTCAGCACAATCTTGGATTTCTTTATGTAACATAATTGGCTAAAATAAAATTTACCCATTTAAAGTATATGACTCTGTGGATTTTAGTATAGTCACTGGATTGTGCAACCATCACGGCTAATTCTAAACCCTTTTCGTAACTTCAAAAAGAAACTGGCCATTAGCGGTCACCCCCGCAACTCCCCCCTCGCCCCAGCCCCAGGCAAGGACTAATCTACTTTCTGTCTCTATGGCTTTGCCTGTGCTGAACGTTTTCCGTAAATAGAATCACACACACAGATGGAAGCCAGTTTTTTGTGTCTGTTTTTTTTCATTTAATGTTTTCAAGGTTCACCCACATGGTAGTGGTTATCAGTACTTCATTTCTTTTTATGGCTGGATGATATTTCGTTGTACAGACATGCACATTTTGTTTATCTGTTCAGCAGCAGATGGATATTCGGGTTGTTTCCATTTGGGGGCTGTTATGCTGCTCTAGACATTTGTGCATAAGTTTTTGCGTGAGCATTTGTTTTCAGTTTTCTGGTGTGTACACCTAGGAGTGGAATTGCTGGTCATGTGGTAACTCTATGATTAACCATTTGATTAACCACCAGGCTGTTTCCCACAGCAGCTGCACAAGTTTACATTTTCACCAGCAATGTGTGAGGGTTCCAATTTCTCCACGTGCTCGCCAACACTTGCTATTGTTCATCTTTTTTATTGCAGCCATCCCAGTGAGCATGAAGTTGTACATATTGTGGATTCGATTGGCATTTTCCTAATGACTAATGATACTGAGCATATTTTTATATGCTAATTGGCCATTTGTATATCTTCTTTGGAGAAATGTCTATTCAAATCCTTTGCCCATTAAAAATATTAGATAGTTTATCTTTTTATTGTTGTAGGAGTTCTTAATATATTTTAGATACTAGATTCTTAGCAGATTATGATTTGTAAATATTTTCTCCCAATCTATGAGTTGTCTTTTTCTCTTTCTTTAATTTTTTTTTTTTTAGAAACAGGATCTTGCTTTGTTGCCCAGGCTGGAGTGCAGTGGCCCAATCATAGCTCACTATAACCTCAAACTCCTGGCTCAAGTGATCCTCCCACATCAGCCTCCCAAGTAGCTAGGACTACAGGTACATGCCACCACACCTGGCTAATTTTTTTTTAAAAAATTTTGTAGAGATGAGGTCGTACCATGTTACCCAGGCTGGTCTGGGACCCCCAGCCTCAAGCGATTCTACTGCCTTGGTCTCCCAAAGTGCTGGGTTTACTGGCATGAGCCACTGTGCCCAGACCTTTTTGCTTTCTTGTTGCTGTCCTTTGAAGCACAAAAGTTTTTAATTTTGATGAAGTCCAATTTATCTATTTTTTTTCCTTTGGTTGCTTATATATTAGGTGTCATACCTAAGAAACCATTGCCTAATCCAAGTTCAGGAAGATTTATACTTATGTTTTCTTTTAAGATAACGTTTTCTTTTATAGTTTTAAAAGTTTATAGTTTTTTATAGTTATAAAAGAAAAGATGTTTTCTTTTATAGTTTTATGTATTATATTTAGTTTTTGATCATTTAGGTCTTTGAGTTAAATTTTGTATATGGTGTCATGTAGGGGTCCAACTCCATTCTATTGCACGTAGATACCTGGTTGTTCCAACACCATTTGTTGGAAAGACTATTCTTTCCCCATTGAATGGTCTTGGTACCCTTGTTGAAAATCAATTGGCCATAAACTCTTGGGTTTATTTCTGTACTGTCAATTTTCCATTGAGCAATGCCTATCCTTATGCTGACACTACACCATCTTGATTACTGTAGCTGTGTAGTAAGTTTTAAAATTGGGACATGCAAGTCCTCCAACTTTGTTGTTCTTCAGATTGTTTTGACTATTCTGGGTCCTCTGCATGTCCATGTTAATTTTAGGATCAGCTCATCACTTCTGCAAAAAATTTTGTTTGCCAGCTGGGATTCTGATAGAGATTGCATTGAATCTGTAGATCAGCTTGACTTCTTAGCAATAGTAAGTCTTCCCATTAACAAATATGGGATGGCTTTCTGTTTGTTTAAGTCTTTCATTTCTTTTTTTCATTTCTCTTCTTTTCTTTCCTTTTGGAGAGAGGTCTTGCTTTGTTGCCCTGGCTAGAGTGCAATGGCATCATCATAGCTCACTGCAACTTTGAATTCCTGGGTTCAAGTGATCCCCTGCCTCAGCCTCCCAACTAGCTGGGACTACAGGCCCATGACACCACACTCAACTGATTTTTCTATTTTTGGTAGAGATGGGGTCTCGCTCTTGCTCAGGCTGGTCTCAAATTCCTGGCCTCAAGCAATCCTCCCACCTCAGCCTCCCAAAGTGCTAAGATTACAGGCATGAGCCACTGTACCTGGCCCTTAAACCTTTAATTTCGTTCAACAATGTGTTGTAATTTTTATGTACAAGTCTTGCACTTTGTTTGTTAAATTTATTCCTAATTTTATTCTTCTCAATGCTGTTGTAAATGAAATTGTTTTCTTAATTTCATTTTTGGATTGTTCATTGCTAGTGTATGCATATATAGTGGATTTTTGTATGTTGCTCTTATATCCTGCAAACTTGATGAAGTTGTGTTTAGCTTTAATAGTTTTTTAGTCAAATATTTAGGATTTTCAACATACAAGGTCATGTCATCTGATAATAGAGATAGTTTTCCTTTTTCCTTTCCAAACTGGATTTTTAAAATTTCTTTTTCTTGCCTAATTGCCCTAGCTATAACCTCCAGTATGATGTTCAATAGAAGTGACAAGAGCAGACATCTTTATCTTATTCCTGAGCATGATCTTTTGAAGTAGGGATTTTTTTTTTTTTACAAATGAAGAAAAACCTGACTCCCCCCGCCCCATGAAGCTGAGGCTCAGATGAGGAAATTGAGGCTCAGAGAAATTAAGTAGCCCTGCAAGGTCACACTGCCAGTTAAAAATGGAGCCAAAACTTAAACCCAGTTTTGACTCCGGAGTCCATACTCATTCTCCTCTGCCTCCGCCTCCTCAAGCCCCGAGGAGAGAACCAGCAACTACATTCCACTTCTTCTTTCACTCTTCCAGTCACGCCGCACGTGGTGGAGGTGGCAGCACACGGTTAGTGTTCTCCTTTTCACCGGAAAGACTTGGAAGAACTGGGACTTGACGTGACTCTCCTGACCCCAATTCTGTGCTTTGAAAGAAGAAAAACGGACCCTTCATTGAGTAACTAGAGGTATTCATAAAGGTTATGTGGGCGGTTCCTCCAAGGCAATAGCAGGAAGGATAAAACAAGCCCTGTGCGATAGTGAGGGAAGAGAAGGCCCTGGAAAGGCTGAGACAAGGTGCAGGGGACATCGAGGCCGGGGGACAGGAAGGAGGGGAAAGGAAAGGGAATTGACACTTTGTTAGTAAAGAAAACGTCAACGGAACAAAACCATCTCTTTATAAGAAAACACTTGAGGCTGGCGCGGTGGCTCACGCCTGTAATCCTAGCACTCTGGGAGGCTGAGGCGGGCAGATCGTTCAAGGTCAGGAGTTTGAAACCAGCCTGAGCAAGAGCGAGACCCTGTCTCTACTAAAAATAGAAAGAAATTAATCGGACAACTAAAAATATATAGAAAAAATTAGCCAGGTATGGTGGCGCATGCCTGTAGTCCCAGCTACTTAGGAGGCTGAGGCAGAAGGATTGCTTGAGCCCAGGTTGCTGTGAGCTAGGCTGATGCTACAGCCCTCTAGCCCAGGCAACAAAGTGAGACTCTGTCTCAAAACAAAACAAAACAAAACAAAAATACTTTAAAGCGGATGTGAATAAATTTCTTTTTGACTAAAGAATCTCTTCTGAAAAAGAAGAATGCAAACGAGTGATATAAAAACATTCTGTGCATGGCACGTGGCCAGACATGCTAAGGTGGCCCTGACCCGAGGCTGAGAGCTGGACAAAATGCCTCCAGCAGCCCCTGCCGAGTCCCCCCGGAAAAGACTCGGTCGCTGGAGCAAGCCCTGGTTGTGCAGGCTGCTGCCGAAATCGCCCACTCCGGCACTTCCTCACAGAGCTTAAGTAAACAAGATTAAATAAAAATGGATTGAATAAAACTGGCCCCCACGAAAAACCTCCCGTCACTCTCGCTCACAGAAGAGGCTCAGCAAATATTACTTCTGCCCTTCTTCCCTTTACGGGGTCCTCAGGGGCCCCAGGCCCTAGGCATGCCCTGGCCCAGGCTCTGTAGGAATCTACCGCAATGGAAAGAAACCTCCCTCCTCTCTCCTCCTTGGCCCAGATCTTTCTAGTAATTTGGCTTCCATCTCTAACCACATAACAAGTGTGTGAGTCTCTTTTCTTCCACATCCCCCCAAAGAAGCGCGGGATGTTTCAGAGGCTTCCCCGAGGGGAAGCGGGCCCTGGCTCCGCCAGAGAAGACCTGAGCGCCGGCTACTCTCTGCCACCACCTTTCCGTGAACCTCTGGGCAAGTCTCCTTTCTGGGCTTCAGGTTCCTCAGGTGGGAAGGGTCCTTGGTCATAGAGGGTAGGGAAGGTCGGCTGCTGCTTCTAGTCTAGGTCCAAGGGCCGATGTTAAGACAGCCATGGGGAGGGGAGACTGGCAAGGTCCCTGAGGTATAACGGGTCCCAGACGGTGGCCCCTGTGAGATGTCTTTCCTCCCTCGCTGTCTCACAGGGTTTGTGGTGGGATTCACAGGGGTGTGAGGCAGGCCTGGCCCTCTGACTGGGAGATGAAATTTATGCTCTGAAAACATGGACCCCTCAGGACAGACTGGGGAAGAGGCTAATGAGAGAGAGGAGCAGAAAGCACCTTAGGAGGAAGTGAGGGGGGGGGAGCCGCCAGGGAGGCTTCCTGGGGGTTTGCTGGGCCTCGGGGGCCGCCTGCGGCTGCGCTCTGTGACCAGCAGGTAGGAGTTGGGTGAGAGGGGGTTGAAACAGGGTGGACATTCAGACAACCCCGGCTGCCCTGACCCCAGGGGGCACAGGCTCCACTGCTTGCACGCCAAGGTCTGTCACTTCTGTGCCCTCATTGGGTTCTCAGGGTGTCCCAAGCGTTAACCTGCCTTCCTCCTCCTTCCCCAGCGGCTCAGACCCTCTGCTGCCCGCCTGCTCCTCTCTGCACCAGCAACTCCCAGCGTTGCTCCAAGCCCAGCCTAGTGCCTCCTTCTAGAGGAGCCCACACTGAGGCCCCAGGCTGGGTTGGGGCTCTGTCCCCTGTAGACCCTGGGAGTTTAGGGGCGGGGGGACACTCTACCGAAGACAGCCCCACACACACACATCACCATATTGCCGCCAGCTTGCAACCCTCCCCTGGCCTTTGGCCTCTGTCTCACTGGTCTTGGAGTCCCCATGCCTTGGGTGGGGGAGACTCAGGGGAGTGGCTAGATGAGCCCCACTCTCGTCCCCGGGTCTCCAGGCCGGGGACGTCATTATGGAGAAGAGCAGGTTACCTTTTCCATCTGCCTTGTAGTCATCAGGGAGGAGCTTGTCCTGCCGGTAACCCAGCACGAAGCCCAGGAAGGAGAGGATGAGGGCGTCGCCGATGCTGAGGATGGCCAGCATGAAGGCCCAGCGGATGGTGCAGTGGCCCAGGGTGTACTTGCCCGTCTGCTCCCCACACATGCGGCGCACCTCGCTCGAGTCCCAGCCGTCCGGGTAGACCAGGCAGCCAATCATCAGGCCTGTGGCTGAGAGGGCAAGAAGGGGTGCAGACGGTGTCGGCCTGGTGTGCCCAGCCCACTGCCTCCCACCTTGCACTACCGTTATCTTGTCACTTCCATTCTCCTTGTGATAATAGCTTGGAGGGGCACAAGAGGTAGCTCCTACCATCCTTCTTACAGAACACAGGTGAGAAACCGAGGCTCCAAAAGCCAGATCAGCTGGCCTCCGGTACCTGGCAGTCAGGGGCCGAGGCAGAGAGCTGAGTTTCTCGGCCCAGGGCAGATTCTGCCACCTCACCAGGTGGTCCTCCCAGGCCCACGGCCACTACCCTCACCTTGGACTCACTGAGGCACAGCCTACCCTGGCTGCGAAGACCTCCAATACCTGGTCCCAGCGCAGACAGCTCATCTCTCCGAAAGTGTACATTTGTTCATAATGTCAACACCTCTGCAACTGTGTGATACGAAAGTGTCAGGGCCGGGCACGGTGGCTCACGCCTGTAACCCTAGCATTCTGGGAAGCCGAGGCAGGAGGATCATTTGAGCTCAAGGGTTTGAGACCAGCCTGAGCAAGAGCAAGACCTTTCTCTACTAAAAATAGAAAGAAGTTAGCTGGACAACTAAAAATATATAGAAAAAATTAGCTGGCCATGGTGGCGCATGCCTGTAGTCCCAGCTACTTGGGAGGCTGAGGCAGGAGGATCGCTTGAGCCCAGGAGTTTGAGGTTTCTGTGAGCTAGGCTGACACCACCCCACTCTAGCCTGGGCAACAGAGCAATACTCTGTTCCCCCAAAAAAACAAAAAAAATGAAAGTATCAGGTCATTGTTTGGTTAGCAGTATTTTTTCTTTTTATAATACATAGTATAATGGTGTGTCCTACCACTCAGGTATCTTAGATTTGGTGAATACAGGAAGGCTTTCTAGCCTATGCCTGGCTGTTTCCTTCATGAACCTTCCACTTAAGCAAACAAGTTTCCTCCCCACCGTTACCACACAGCACGGTGCAGATGCTTACACGTCCCTCAATTTAAGCATCCCCTGGAATGTTTATTTAAAATGTTGTTTTCAATGTCAATATTACCTAAAGTGATCTACAGAATTAATGCAATCCCCATCAAAGTACCACCATCATTCTTTACAGATCTAGAAAAAATAATTCTTCACTTTGTATGGAACCAGAAAAAACCTCGTATAGCCAAAGCAATCTTAAGTAAAAAGAACAAACTGGGAGGCATCAGTCTTCCTGACTTCAAGATGTACTACGAAGCAAAATAGTTAAATCAACCTGGTACTGGCACAAGAACAGATGCATTGATAGTTGGAATATCTCTGAGATTCCAGAGATGAAACCATCTGTATACGGTGACCTAATCTTTGATAAAGCAGACAAAAATATACAATGGGGAAAAGAATCTCTCTTTAATAAATGGTGCTGGGAAAACTGGAGAGCTACATGCAGAAGAATGAATCAGGATCCCTACCTCTCACTTCTCACAAAAATCCACTCAAGATGGATAACAGACTTAAACCTAAGGCATGAAACCTTAAGAATCCTAGAAGAAGATGTTGGGAAAACCCTTTCAGATATTGGCCTAAGCAAAGAATTCTTGAAGAAGACCCCCAAAGCAATCACGGCAGCAACTAAAATAAACAAATGGGAACTGATCAAATTAAAAAGCTTCTGCATAGCCAAGGAAACCATCATTAGAGCAAACAGACAACCTACAGAATGGGAGAAAATATTTGCTCTCTACACTTCCAATAAAGGTCTAATAACAAGAATCTAGAACTCAAAAGAATTAACAAGAAAAACCAAACAACCCCATCAAGAAATGGACAATGGAAATGAACAGAAATTTTCCAAAGAAGACAGAATAATGGCCTGCAAACATATAAAAAAATGTTCAACATCTCTAATCATCAGAGAAATGCAAATCAAAACCACAATGAGATACCACCTAACTCCCGTGAGAATGGCCTGTATCAAGAAATCCCAAAACAACAAATGCTGGCGAGGATGTGGAGAGACAGGAACACTCTTACACTGCTGGTGGGACTGCAAATTAGTGCAACCTTTGTGGAGAAGAATTTGGAGATACTCAAAGAGCTAAAAATAGAAACATCATTCAACCCAGCAATAGCACTATTAGGCATCTACCCCAAAGAGCACAGGACATTCTATTATAAAGACATCTGCACCCGAATGTTTATGGCAGCACGATTCACTATTGCAAGGACATGGAAACAACCCAAGTGCCCGTCAATTCATGAGTGGATTATTAAAATTTGGTATATGTTCACAATGGATTACTCAATTCTAAGAAATGACAGTGAGCTAGCAACGCTTACACTACCCTGGATTAAGTTTAAGCCCATTATCCAAAGTGAGGTGACACAAGATCAGAAAAATGGGCTCCACATGTACTCGCCATCAAATTGGTACTGACTGATTAAAACTGTGGTGCTTAAATGGTGGTAGTGCTCACCAGGGATTTGGGGGTTAGGGGGCGTAGACCCACATCTTAGGGATGTGGTGAGCATTGTGGAGGGAAGGGCATACCTCTAACCCTTCCTAGGGAGAGGCAAAGATAAAATGTAACCAAAATGTCAAAAAAAAACCAAACATTTATTGGGTATCAGGCAGGTGGGACGGGGGAGGAGGGGATGGGTATATATATACATAATGAGTGTGATGCGCACCATTTGGGGGATGGACACGCTTGAAGCGCTGACTCAAGGGGGGAGGGGAGGCAAGGGCAATATATGTAACCTTAACAACATTTATACTCCCATAATATGATGAAATTTAAAAAATGTTGTTTTCTTTGCATGTAACATGCACCAGAATAAAATGAAATAAAGTACTGGTTCCCAGGCCAGGGTTGGGCTCAGAGATCACTGCTTTTAAAAGCACCCTTCCAGGTGGTTCTCTCAATAGGAAAAGCTGGGAACACAGTAGACCGGGCTGTGGGATCTCAAGCCCAGTTCTTTGTTAACTAGCTGTGTGAGCAGGAGCAGGCCACTTAAGCTTTCTCTGCCTCGGTTTCCTCGTCTATAAAGTGGAGAAAATAACCCTACCTGTTGCGGCTGCAGTGAGGTTCAAAGGAGTGAATGTTGGACGAGTGCTCAGAACAGTGCCTGGCACACACTCGGCACTTCCTGAGTGTCATGTCTTCTTGTCCCACCTGCGCCTGCATTGACTTGGTATTTACAGCTAAAACTTCTACTATCCTGCTTCCCCCTGCTTCTTCCATCCCCTCCCGTCAAACCAGCTCCCCGACCCCAGCCTCCCCAGGGTGGAGCACAGACAGGTGACATAATCCCAGGATGTGACTGGGGTGACCTCAAGCACCACTGCCATGTGGCAGTAGTGCTTCCCCTTCCCTGTGCCCCCTTCCCACCCTTGGCCCTCCTTCCGCAGGCCGGGAGGCTCTCTGGCCCCAAGGCTGTGCCCTATCCAGGAACCCCTCAGAGAAACACCTCACAGGCCCCAGAGTGACCTTCCCCGGACCCAGCTTGTTCTTGTAAGGAAGGTGGGTAGATCACCCAAAGGCACAGGATCAGGTAGAGATCAGGGTCCACACCTCCCCGCCTCAGTGTATCAACTTCCTTTGACTTCTATGGAAGGAACTCACTTATGTAGTTCTTTTATAGACCCTAGAATACTTCATGGATCTGTGAAGTTCTGTGAAGCAGGCCAGATATTAATATCCCCATTTTACAGACTAGAAAACTGAGGGCTCAGAGAAACCAAATGACTTGCCCGTCATCCCGCTATGTCAGAGCCAAGACCTGAACTCTCCGTCCTGACTTCTCTGACTTCAAAGTCCCTTCCCTCCACCTCCAAACAGCGGCATCGCTCTGAGGGGCTGAACGCAGTTAGTGGTGACACCTCGACTTGGAGACAAGCTGAGACGTGTTCGGGAACCCTCCCACAGCTGTTTGGTAAAACTGTGTGCCAGGCCCTTCCCCACGCGCTGCGGGTCCAGCCCTCCCGTGCCTGAGGTGGCCCCTACCTTAAAGGGGCACCTCACAGATGCCGAGGGCACCGGCGGACGTGGAGAGGAGCTACCTGCCCTTCAGGACTCGCCACGGTCCCCATCACGCCTCCCTCTGGCCCTGCAGAGGGCTTCCACAGCGCCTCCCTAGGCGACCCCGGCACAGCCCAGGGCCTCTGGCTGAGAAACAGGCGTGGGCACCACAGCCTGTCCACACCCGCACCGCTCACGGGTGGGTGCGGTGGGCGTCTACGCCGCCTGTGGTGTCCCGAGGGCCCACGGCCAGCACCGTGTTCTCAGGCCAGCTTGCGCACCCTTCCCGACTCCCCCGTGTTGTCTGTGAGACTCCCGACTCAGAGGCCAGCGAGGATGAAGCGTGATCGTTCACAGATACTGCTTACTTCGGTGCCTCGTGCCAGGCGAGTGGCCAGTTAACGTCAGTCATTGCTAGGATTACTGACACTGGGGTCCGACGGAAGCCATCTGGGCGCGTGGCTGCCGTCAGACCTGCTCACAGATATTGCGGGTACTCGCGGGATTGCCTCTGCCACCCCCGCCCCTGAGGTTGGGCAAGGCCGCGTTCCTTTGGCCAACAGGTGGGAGCAGAGATGTGTGTACGCCCAGGCCAGAGCATCTAACGGCCAGTGGCAGACTTTCCAGAGCCCCTTTCTCTCTGAAGTGAGGACAGCCAAGGACAGCTGACACCCTCAGCATGGGTCCTGGGAGAGAGCAGCGACAGCAGAGCCCATAGTTGACCCCAGTGGGCATGGACCGTAAGCAAGAAATAAATAAACCTTACCGTCACATCCCTTCCCATCCTGGCTGGTAAAGTTGTTCTCTGTTTTTCACATTTGCTGAGCACCACGTGCCAGGCAGTGTGCGCGGTGTTTTCCATGCATTATACCAGCCCATCTTTAGGCGAACCCACAACAGTGGGTACTGTGGCCACATTCTACAGGGGACGTACAATAGACTGAATTTTTGTTCCCCCCAAACTCAGATGTTGAAGCCTCAGCCCCAGTGTGATGGTGTCAGGAGGTGGGGCCTTCGGGAGGTGATTAGGTCAAGGGGTGGGGCCCTCATGAATGCGATTGGTGCCCTTATAAAAGGGACCCCAGAGGGGGCGGGTGGCCAAAGGTTGGTTAGTGGGTAGAAAAGCACAGCTAGGTAGAGGAATAAGTTCTAGTGTTCTGTAGCACTGTAGGGTGACAATAGTTAACAATAATTTATTGTATATTTTCGAATAGTTAGAAGAGTGAATTTTAAGTGTTTCCAACACCGTCTACAGCTATACCACCCTGAACATGCCTGATCTCATCTAAATGTTCCCAACACAAAGAATTGAGAAATGTTTGAGATGATGGGTATGCTAATTACTTTGATTTGGTCATTACAGATTGTACACATGTATCAAAATATCACATTATATCCCATAAATATGTACAATTATGTGTCAATTAATAATAATAATAAAAGCAAATAAATAAATGAATAAAAGGGACCCCAGGGATCCCTCTTGCCCTCTTTCCACCATGCCAGGGCACCGCGAGGAGTCGGCAGTCTCCAGCCTAGAAGGCGGCTGTCACCAGAGCTCGAATGTACACAGCTCCCATGCCACGCCGGCACCATGGTTTCTGACTTCCAGCCCCCTGGCCCGTGAGAAATAGATTTCTGTTGTTTGAACCCTTGTTTGTGGGAATTTGTTTTAGCAGCCCTGCCAAAATGGAAGTAGGTAAAACTGACGAAGACATATGGTTACCAAAAGTCAGACAAGCAACTTCCTGTCCCTGTGTTTTCAGGAGCTGGGACCACACTCAGCCTACCCCTGGCATCCAGAAGCTCAATTAATATTGTTAAGTTAGGCCACAGCCCCACATTGTCCCTTCACCCGTCCTCCCCCTCCCTTCCCTGCCCCCAGGCTTCTTGGCAAGGTCCAGCTAACGGGTCTGGGCCTCTTGAAATGGAGGCATCTCCCAGCTGCTGGATGTGGGGCCCACCCCCTCCTCATCCCTCCCTTTGGCTCATTCTTCCATCCCCAGTGCGCGGGATGGAACAGGACACCACCCGTGCCCTCCCCCGACATCAATGTTTCATGGGATGGCAACTGGCCACCTCTGCTCTCAGTGTCTCTGGCTCTGTGACCTAGATAGTGTCTGATGCAGATGGCCTGTCACCCCTCCCCAACCCCAGCCCTCCTGGCACTGCCTTGCTCACAAATGGCACCTGCTGGGGATGTTTGGGGGGGCAGGCAGCACTGGGAATGAGAGAGATAGTTGTGTCTCCAGTGCCCCACAACCTGACACGCAGAGTCAGCTGGCAAGCATGTCAGCGTCTGTTCTCCTCCTCCTTGGCACAAAACTGGTAGATCTTCATTCCCCCTTCTTTCTTGACATGACTGTCCTCTCGCTTTCTGTCTACTGCCCACCAACCCTTGCCCTACCTCTGCCCCACCCTCCCCTTTATCATACAGAGAGATTGCAGGGAAGAGGTAGATGGTGAGGGGGTCTGTGGGGAGCTCTGAAGCCAGGTAAGTGGACTGGCCGCAAGATTTGGAACCAAAGGTGTGACCCTCGCGACCTATGTGCTCAAAGACAGGTTCCTACTAGGAACCTTATCAGTAAAATGAAGAAATATCCACCTTGCTAGGTTGTGATGCAGCTGTGCCAGATAATATATGTAAAGATTCTTTGCAAATCACCATACTTGTATAAATAGATGGCTCAATAAAAATGTCTTGGGAATACATCTAGTCTCTTGGGACCTGCTGCTTTAATTCTCTCGGTCCTCAATGGGCAGCTGATCTCTCTCAGCCCCAGATGCTGTATCCATAGCTGGGGGGAGGCATAGTTCTCTGGAGTCACCTTCAACCCTGCAGTCCTGAGTCTGTGTTCATCGGTCTGTGTTAAGGAGAACCCCACTCCTCATTCTAACCAATGATCTCAAGATGGTTTCACTCTAGTCTCCAGTCCCCAGCACTGCCACTGGACATCTCACCAACATGGACAGTTTGTGTGTGGTCCTTAGGGTGGGCAGGGACCAAGGTACCAGAGGTTGCAGGACAAGGTCTTGGGTCATCTTTCCCTGGGCTCCAGAAAAGAGCTGGACCAACTGGCCCCAGGACCAAAAGGACTGCCTGGGCCAGGAGCAGGAAATGAAGCAGGGAGGCCTTGCTTGAGGGCACACAAGTCCTGCCTGCCCCACTCATTTTAAAGGACCCTGAGTAGCTTCTTCCACCTCAGAAAATATGATTCCATTCACTTCCTCAACAATGGAATCCCATAATCAAGGAACACAGATTTTCACTCCGTGATGAAAGAGGGGACTTCAGATGCAAATTTCTATTCATACGCAGGATAATAATAACATTCCAAAATCAATGAGTAACCTTAGAACCTTCCTTGAGAGCAGTTTGAGGTGGGAGGAGGGAGTGAGGGCAGGGTTCTAGGCACTTTTAAAGGAGAAAGAACAAATAGCCAGAAGTGGGAGATGAAGCCTTCTAGAATGTGCTTGGCTGCTGTCACTATCTTGCTCTGGGGTTGGGTCCTATTCTCACATGGCTGATAGAGGAATCTTCCTATTTCTCTCTCCCAGGGCTGCAACAACTGCTGTAGTGGCCTGGGAGTCAGGACCAGGAGCTGCGTGCTCCTGGGCAAGTCACTTTCCCCCCTGGGGTCAGTGCCCCATCTGTAAGATGAGGGGCTGAGTGGTTTCATCTAAGGTCCTTTCTGCTTCAGCCACTCTACGATTCTGTACTGCTCGCCATCTTCTGCAGAGCACTGAGTAGGGCTGGGCTACAGGAGGATAGCTGCGGACATCTCGCGGAGCCTCCACAGAGGGGCACGTTGCAGCCACGGCTGTGGCCTAGGGGTGGCCCTGCCCGCCCTCCCGCCGCCCTGCTCACCGGCAGCCAGCTGCATCCACGCGCAGATCTTGTAGACGGTGGCCGTGTTGCAGACGAAGAACAGGCTGAAGCAGATGATGGAGCCAATGATGAGGAACATGCCCAAGGCCACAAAGAACATGGCAGTCTTGAAGGCTCTGGAGGGTATGGAGGAGAAGTCCAGGGGACCGCCCTTGCAGATGAGCTCGGAGGACAGCACGTTGCCCACGCAGTAGGAGAAAAGGCCGAAGTAGCCCGCCTGCGGCGTGTTGACGCTGTCGCCGATCCAGTAGGGCTGGATGAAGAGGGCCATGACCAGCACAGAGAAGCAGATGGTGAGCGTGCCCCACATCACGCCGACGGCGCGCGCGTTGCGCACGTAGTTGGTGTGGTAGATCTTGGCGGCCTCCTGGGCCGGCAGCAACTTCACCATGGCGAGGGCAGCAGGCCGGCTGGAGGCCTGTGGGCTGCGAGTCCCTGGCTTCGTGGGTGGAGGCCCAGAAGTGGGTCACCCTCAGCCGCGTTGGGGAGGCGGGTCAGGGACACGGTGAGGCCCTCCAGAGCAGAGGGGCAGGCCTTAACAGCACAAGGACTTCCCTGGCCTCGTGGGGCAGCCGGCCGGATGCGTGTGCCCGCCTAGCCGGCCTGTCTCCCTCTCGCCTCCTGCCGGGCCGGCCGGGCTCGGCCGCGGTGCCGCCCTGCTCCCTCCGGTTCCGCTCCCGGCCGCCGCGGCCCGCCCGTCCCCGCCTCCTCGCGGCCCGGGCGCGTTTCAGCACGCGGCCAGCGCCCGGCGGCGCGGAGGGCGGGCCACGGCGGCCGCGGCAGGGGCCGGCCCCGCCCAGGAGGCGCCCGCAGCCCGCCGCTCGGAACCGCCCGCCCCTCACCCTCGCCAGCCGGACGACAAGAACTGTGCGGCTGTCACACTCCCCTTTCTCAGTCCCAGTGCAAACCCGCTTCCTCTTCAAAGCCTGTCCACGCCCACCGCGCCCTGGCTCCCCAGTCGCCCTCCCGGGACCTCCAACCACCCCACCCCACCCCGCACCCCGGCGGCCAGCAAAGCCTTTACTGAGGCGACTTCTGGTCACTGGCTGCTCACCCCTGTCATTCGGTCGACAGTGACCAAGAGCCTCCATGCGTGGAGCCTACGTTGGAGGACGCCTTCTAAGCAAGAACAGAGATCAAACAAGGCCCCTGCACTGCAAGACAGTGAGCTACTTACATACATAATGTATGTGTATATGTGTAAATATGCGTATATGTGTAACATACGTGTGGTACCTGTATGTGCAGACTGAGAGTGGGATAGAAGCGACTACAAAGCGCAGCAAAGAACATATTAATGAGCCTTCTCTGTCCTTAACATCCACTCTGTCTAATTAATGCCGTTCCTCCTTTATTTGTATGTATTAGTTGCATATTTTTCCCCTTTTAAACCTATATATATTTCTCCTGATTTTATAGGTAAATTCATGGCTAGTATACAGAACTAGGAAAATTCAGGAAAGTATACATAAGAGAATGAAAATCCTTCAGAACCCCAACGCCAACAGTTAAAGAGAGACAAGATCCTGTTAAAAACATGGACTTTGGCTTTCAACAGACTTGGATCTGAGTCAGGTACTTTCTTACTAAGTACCATACCTGGACTTAACCTTCTTGAGCCTGTTTCTTTGCCAGTAAAATGCAGGTAATTATAGTATCTACCACGTAAGTGTCAGGTAAAGTAACACGTGTAAAATGTAAAATAACGTATGTGACCCAGGACATCACATATAAAAATGCTCAAAAATGTTGATGACGGTGATGACCTCCGCTAACATTTCGGTGCGTTTCCGTTGTGTGCATACCGCTTTATACAGCTACATAATGATGTATGTGCGTTTTTTTACTTGGCATTATACCATTAATATTGTCTTATATTATTTTTTTCAAGAACACCATCTTAATGCTTCTGTAATGATGCAGAGTATGTATGTATCATAATCATTTAATCATTTCCCCTTTGGTGTGTTTTGGCAGTTTCCACCTTTTCACTATTAAAAATAACCCTGCCTAAAACATATTTGTGCCATTCCTGTGTTTCTTCTTTCTCTTAAATCTCTTCTTGGATTCTGTGACCAGTCTTAACCATTAGACTGGGAGTTCGTCGAGGGCACAGCCTGTGTCGCCACCACCAGACTGGGAGCTTCCCCAGAGCTGTGTCTTCCTCCACTCAGAAGGGCCTTAGGCTGGGGCCAAACTCCTAGGAGTTGGTGGATTTTCCTTGTTTAGCCTGCCCAGCACACCCTTCCCCTGCCTCTGAGAGTAGCTTCCCCTTCTTCCTGGGGTTCTGGTGGGACAGCCAGTCACAAGGAATGTAGACCTTTGAGACAGAGCTGGTGGATGACCCAGGCTAGACCTTCAGTGGCTTTCTGGGGAATCTGAATTGGTGGTGGATTGGTAGGAGGGAAAAGAGTGTTGTTGCTTAGTTGGGCTATGCAACATCCTCAAGAAACAATCCATGAGCGCCTACTGCTGGGCCTCAGCCACCCTGATTCCTGCCCCTCCTAAGACAGGTCGCCCTATTTCTTCTTCAACTCTGTAACACACCAAGTAGCCTCCCATCTCCTTCCCTTTTGCTTTAATTAGCCAGAGTAGGTTTGGGCTACTGGCACCAAAGAGCCCTAACTGCTCCAAATATTGGCACCAGAAAGAGCCCTAACTGCTCCAAATATTGCCCAGGTTTCCAGCCTGGGCAAAAGGCTCTGAAACTCCTGTTTATGTTTGGAATTGGGAAAACAGCAGTACACAAAGCTGCTAATCAAATTATGAGCTGTGAACACCATGACCATGTACCCTCTGAGGGTCAAGTTCGGGGGAACTGAGTGGCTTTGGCCATACGTAGATTTAAAGGAATGAAGAAATGGACACTGAGCCGTGTGGCTGCTTATAATGACATTGAATAGTATCAGGCAAAATAAGCCCAATGTCCAGATTATTGATTCAAGGAATAAAGTGAAATTCAAGACTGTTATGTGATATGGCTCACAGAATCTGTCAGGGGTTGTTGCTATAGGACAGAAGATCTTTAGAATAAGATTCGGGGAGTGTGTGAGGCTGAACCCGTCCCGTGCTCCTGAGTGATGAGAGCAGATCACCCCGGGAGTGGGTAGAATCTTCGCCCTGTTCCCCAACCCTGGAGCTAAAAGTTAACGTACTACGAAGAGCTAAACCAATGCCCCCAGTGCTCCCTCTCACTTCCCAAACCATAAACCAAAAACAGCATTACGTCCCAAGGGGAGCTGCAGGATTTAGCCACTAACAATGACGCAAAAGATGCAGGGCGGAGACTCCTATCCCTAGTGGACATTTGTCACATTGTTTGGTTTTGTTTTTGGCTGACCAGCATCTTAACCCCTTCTTATTTGGGGGTGATACTCTGCTGTGCGGGAGTCCTGGCAGGGCCTCCTCGCTCACTGCGGAAGCCACCTGGGCCAGGGGTCCCTTCCTCTGCCTGCTCTAGCGAGAGCCCCACTGGCACGCTGGCACCAGGTGGGAACGGACTGCTGCGGAGAGGCCGGGGGAAGGGAAATCTTCATGGAGGGCAGGACTGCAAGTGCTATAACTATCTAGCCCCAAAAGATCCACATCCTAATCCCGAGAACCAGCGAATCTTATCTTATTTGGAAGAAAGTTTGCAGAGGTAGTTAAGGATCTCCAACAAGGCGATCCTGCTAGACTATCTGGGTAGGCCCTAAATCAATGACAACAAGTGCTGTCAGAGACACCCAGAGGACAAGATAGACACAGAAGAAAAGGCGAAGTGACCACAAAGGTGGAGAGATCAGGATGACGTGGCCACAGCCAGGGCAGCTGGCGGCCGCCGGAAGGAACAGGCATGAAATGGATTCGTCCCTAGAGCCTCTGCGGCGAGGGAAGCCCCGCTGACGCCTGCGTTTCTGCTTCTGGCCTCCAGAATAGCGAGACTAAATTTCTATTGTTTCAAACCATCGCATGTGGGGTGTTTTGTTGTGGCAGCCTCGGAAAATGAATACAGCCCCTCCCCTGGAAGGAGAGTAGGCCTGGGGCCCGCATGATCACCACTTGTGGGCAGGGCTCGGGCCAGCCACACGGTGGGACGCAGTAAGTTTGGAACATTAGGTGAGAGGCTGGGGAAGGGTACGTGGATGGAGCCCTACGGATAGGAGCAGAGCCAGCGGGCGAGGGGCCCTATGGGAAGGTCCTTCAGGCGCTGCTACTGCACAGGGGGCTTGTCATCCGTGGGACAGGACCGCTCACTGTATGGAAAGTAGCCAGCCTCCTCCTTCCCAGCCCCCCTCACCCTCACCCTCACCCTCACCCTGCGCCGGCTCAGAGCCTCATAGCAAGGTGTCCCTTGGGGACAGATGGAGACTGTGCATGCATTGTCCACCAGCGCTGACACAGCCACAGTCACCACTGGCTCCCAACAATACCAATAAACCTTGAGCCCTTGATATGACATCCAGGACTCTTAGCATTTAATAATAAGGAAACAAACAACTCAAATTCTAACACTAGGCAAAATATTTGAACAAATACTTTATCAAAGAAGATATGTGGATGGCAAATATGAAAACATGAAGAATGTTCAACATTGTTAGTCAGTTGGGAAATGCAGAAGAAACACAATGACACACCATTACACACCTCCTAGAAAGACTAAAGTTAGAAAGGCTAAATTCAGAAAACAACAACAAAACTGGCCACACCAAGTACAGTGAAGACGTGAAGAAATTGCAACTCATATATTGCCTGTAGGAATGCATATTGGTTCAGCCACTTAGGAAAACCTCTTGACAGTCTCTTAGAAATTGAAACAAGCATTTGTCACATGACCCAGCCATCTCACTCCTAAGTATTTGTCCCAAGGGAACAAAAACTTGTGTCCACACAAACATCTGTACATGTGTACACACTAATGTGCATAGCAACTTTATTGAAAATTTACCAAAACGTTTCAGAAATAATCCAAATGTCCTTCAAGTGGTGAATGGGTGACACACTGTAGTTCCATCTGCACAATGGACTCAGCAATAAGAAGTGACAACTACTGAGGCCTGCAACATGCATGAGCCTCAAATGCAGCCTGCAGAGTGAAAGGAGCCAGGCCACATGAAACAGTGTGTGATTTCACCTGCTACATATGGAAAAGGCTAAACTCTAGGGAAGGAAGACAAACCATACTTGCCAGGATCTGGAGGCAGGGTTGGTGACAAAGGGGCAGCCTGAGGAAGTTTTTAGAGTGACAGACATGTTCTGTATCTTGACTGTGGTGGTTATGGTGGTTACGTGACAGATTCATCTGTCAAAACTCACTGACATGGACGTCAGAAGGCTGAATTTCACAGTGCCGATTATACCTTCATGTCACGAGAGGGACTACTGATGTTGGTCGGGGGCCTAATCCTGGCTGTCAGGCGAGGAAGGATGGCCACCCACAGAGGGGCAGGCGGGAGTATATTCGGAACTCGGGAAATGCCCAGACTGGCTCTTGTACTGCCATGTCCAGAGTAAACTTGGTGGAAGACGTCAGCAAACCAACACACACAGAACCTCGAGGGGCCCAGAGAGCTCCAGACAGATCCTGGGTCACTCTAGGGGGCAGGGCGTAAAAAACCCTAACATCAGAGCCGCTGGCGGCAGTGGAGGCGGAAGCAACCTGGGCTGGGGATGGAGGACGAAGGTTGTGAGTGCTGCTGGCAGCCAGGTGGCGTCTGCAGAAAGGAGCCGCTGCCCTATTCTCTTCCCTGCCACTCAGGTCCTCGACACATACCAGGTATACTTACATATCCTACTAAGTCTCTTTTCTTTCCTCTTTGCTGGTGACTAACTTCACGATTTAGCCTTAAGGTACACATACTGAGATGTGATCATGACCAAGTAGGAGAGGGTGACATCACAAAGAGATCCTAGACTTAGAGGTGGGGCCATGACTGATGAGACTTTGAGCCCTGTCCCTAGCGTTCTGCTCTTGCAGAGGATCGCAGTGGTTGGAGGGAATGCTGGCACGGAGTGGGGATTGTAAGTATGGGGGGAAAGAGTCCATGTGCGTGTTGACCAGCCAAAGGAAGGAAGTGTACTAAGAGGACAGAGCACAAATTTCAGCAGGTCCAGAAGGATGAGGTGGGATAAGGGACATCTTCAAAGCAGCCATTGAGGGCCCAGAAAATCATAGAGACCCCTCTCCTGCTGCCTTGAAGCCACCTAAGCTCCACTCCACACTCATCAGTCTTGGTCCGGAGAATGGGGAGGTGGGAGGACCTGTCGAGTCTGAGAATGGAACTAAAGAGACTGGCAACCTGACAGTCACTGTATATCTCCTTTCCTACCCTCACCCAAACATGATGGAGATTGGATAGTCAGAGAAAATTTACAAGTTACAATTATCACACACCCCAATTTATACTTTGAACCTACTTCTTGGAGAAGGAAAGTTATTTGTGGGCTGGGGAGTCAAAAATGGAATAGAGGGGGTATCTATTGTTGTTTCTGCACAGAACCTTCCTGCTGTTTTTTTTTTTTTTTTTTTTTTGGAGATATAGTCCACAGTCTCACTCTTTCACCCCAGGACTAGAGTGCAGTGGCATCATTGTAGCTTGCTGCAACCTTAAACTCCTGGGCTCAAGCGATCCTCCTGCCTCAGCCTCCCGAGTAGCTGGGACTACAGGCTTGAGCCATCATGCCAACTATTTTTTTTTTATTATTTTATTTTTTAGTAGAGATGGGGTCTTACTTTCACTCAGGCTGGTCTCGAACTCCTGAAGTCAAGCAATTCTCCTGCCTGGGCCTCCCAGAGTGCTAGGATTACAGACTGCCTTGCCTGGTCCCTTCCTCCTTCTTGAATAACAAAATCGACTGTATCTGGAGAAGTGCCCTTCCCTGTTCCGCAAGGCCCGGCAGGGGTTGCTGCCCACCTCAGAGCTCCACCCAGAGAAGGTCACAGGCAGGGGCTTGGGGGTCGCAGCTAAGTCTCTGAGTCTCTGGAGGGGAACTTACATCTCGAGTGGATTCTCTGGCTGCTCTCTGCTCTGACTCCAGGGTTGGGAGTCCCATTGCACAATTGAGATGTCTGTGTTTATGGCTAGCAAGGGGATGTGTTGCAGGAATGCAGTGACTATGGGAGGGCGTGTGCGTGCCTGTGTGTGTTTCTCCCCAGGACGTGCAGATCCATCAAGAAGTTAGGGCATGGCTGTGGCTGCTTCTCTCTGACTGGTTGATCCACTCTCTTTCCCCTCTGCAAATTGGCTTTCTCCATTTCTTCACCAGCATGAAAAAAATAGCCTTGCAGGGCTTCCTTAGTTCCATGTTTCAGACCAGCTTGAAGGCAGGCTGTCGGGTACAAGTCTACTCCACTCCCAGGAGAGGGGCTTGGGTCAGATGTCCATCCCTTGTTCGGTCCACTGCAGCCCGCAGCAAAGACAGCTCCTTTACTAGCACGGCTGCAAGGCCACCAGCGGCTCGCCGTCGGCGTCTGGGCAGATCTTGGAGAAGGCAGACGGGGAGACACACGAGAGGAGTTCTACAGCCACTGTGCCTCAGCCCCACTCAGTGGGAGGCATGGCACCACCCCAACCCCATCCCAGGTGGTAGGACTTGACTAGAGAGAATTTCATCTTTTTCTTTGGTGGCAGAGTAGCTATAATACATACAGTAAAGCATTCAAATCTTAAGTGCACAGCTAGATGGATTTTTACATGGCATCAACGTCCCAGACCAAGATTTGGAACAATTCCAACACTGTAGAAGGCTCCCTCGTGCCCCCTCCTACTCAGTATCCCTCCCGGGGTAATCACTCTCCAGACTTCTATCACCATAGGTTGACTCTGCCTCTTCTTGAGCCTCATGTAAATGGAATCGCACAGTGTGTGTTCTTTTGTCTGTGGCTAGTTTTATGCCTGTGAGATTTACCTGTGTGATTGCATGTAGGACCCACAACTCGGTTCTTTTTTGAGGGGAAAACCCAAAGCATGCTATGAACTAGTTCAACCTCTGTGGAAAGCAATATGGAGATACCCCAAAGAGCTACAAGTAGAACTACCATCTGATCTAGTAATCCCATTACTGGGCGTCTCTCCAAAGGAACAAAAGACATTCTATTAAAAAGACACCTGCACTCGAATGTTTACAGCAGCACAATTCACAATTGCAAAGACGTGGAAATAACTCAAGTGCCCACCAATACATGAGTGGATTAATAAAATGTGGTATATGTAGACCATGGAGTACTATTCAGCCACAAAAAACAATCATGATATAGCACCTCTTGTATTATCCTAGAGAGCTGGAACCCATTCTGCTAAGTGAAGTATCCCAAGAATGGAAAAAGAAGCATCACATGTACTCCCCAGCAAATTGGTATTAACTGACCAACACCTATGTGCACATATGGTAATAACATTCATCTGGGGTCGGGCAGGTGGGAGGGGGAGGAGGGGATGGTATATTCACACCTAATGGGTGTCGTGTGCACTATCTGGGGGATGGACACGCTGGAAGCTCTGACTCAGGCGGGGGGCAAAGACAATATATGTAACCTAAACATTTGTACCCCCATAATATGCTGAAATTAAAAAATTAAAAAAGAAAAAGCCAAAGCGCAATTCTTTAAATTGGTCCCGCCCCCAGCCTCCCTCTTGACCCGGGAGAAGGGGACAGTGCTCACTCTCCCACGGCTGGCCTCGCAGACGGCCTGGGTGTTGGGGCGGGAAGCCTAGCAGCCGCTCACAGCACCCACAGAGGATGATTTCTCATGCAGAAATTAAGGTATAAAAGTCAAAAAAGTTTACTTTATCTTCTTAGGGGAGGGGGGGGAAGGGGGGGAAGAGAGCATGGAGACAGCCTGGCATCCCAAAGAAGGAAAAGGGAGATGCCGCAGTGAGGACGAGTGGCTCGCTGCTTTTATGGGGACAAAGGGAAAGAGAAAAAAGTAGTACTTGTTGCGGAGTGATTAGATGTCGCAGAGTCAGTCTTTCTTGCTTTCTCTGCTCTTGGAGACTTGGTTTTCTCTGAGATGCATTCAGGCCTACCACAGGGGATGTGATTTTGCCCCTGAGCTATGCTTTGGGCAGGAAACTAAGGCCTGGAGTTTGCCTCCCCTCTGTCTGTCCCAAGCTTCTCAGGAACACCTTGAGGCTGTAAAACAGATCCTAAAAGCCCCTTCTGGTGGATGTAAAGAGAAAGATTTACATTTCCTTCTGTCTTGGGGCTCTTTCCAGATGCGTGTGAAAACAGAGGCCCTGCAGGGTGCTGCCAGCTGGGGAGAGAAGCAGCAGAGTAGGGGACTCACCTTTGATCCTTAAATGTTGTTAGGACATTTCGGAATCAGATGTTTTCCTGTTATTTCCGCAAGGCTGCCCTTTCACTGGGGTGGAGGAAAGAGGAGAGATCAGAGCGAGCTCATGGGGAAAAGTGGCTTCAAACGCTGCCTTCCATAAAAGTTAGAGAGGAAAGTGTTCTTTCGTTAATGGTATTTCTGCATCTCTGGAGCCAGATGGGTTTCTCTCATTTTGAGGGTCTCTTGACTGGACCCTCCGGCTGTTCCGGTACATTCCACAACAGGGATGTGAGGGTGAGGGCAAGGGCGTGGCATCACGTGGGCTGAGCACCTGCTATGTGTAGAGATCATGTCTACCAGTGTCACGGCACAACGAAGAATGCTCCAGACCACAATCTCAGGCTAGAGGAGGAGAGGCTTCATTTCAAAGAGCTCCCACACCTTCTCCAAATCTCCGTATTTATTATAGGGAAAGGCATATGTGTTTATGGTACAGAACATACAGATAAAATCTCTGGTGTCATATAGTAAGCATACTGTTCCAAACAAGCCTATTTAATGATATACATTACACTTACAATTATCTTGTTATTTCCTTGTTGTTCCTTAAGGCCACAGAGAGAAGGGCAGGGACCCAACACCAGTCACGCTTCCATCCATTCCAAAGTCTGCTGTGTGCAGCCGCTGATAAGGATCGTATCCCAAGTCCTGTTGGCAGGAGCGCCATATCCGCCTTCCTCGCAGTCCCTCGCCCAGGCCTTTCCTAACATCCACTACGCATGTGCCAGGCACTTCCACGTGGGCTCCACATACACTGTCTTGCTCAGCCCTGACCTTCTGACACAGGAGCCAACGTCTCCTTAGGTAGATAAGGAAACTGAGGCTCAGGGAACTTAAGAAGTTGAAATTCCTGCTCCAAGGTCATGTAGCTAGTTAAGTGCTGACTTTTGAAGCCAGGTTGGTCTGGATCAGAGCTGTGCTTGAGGCGCCCCAACCTGGAGCCTCACAGGGGGGCTGTCCTCTACCTCTTGGGGGAGGGGGAGGGAGGGCTCTGGCTGCAGGGACCAGACCTTCAGGGCAAGCTGCTCTGTTCCCACGCCTGGGCACACTCGGGCAGCTGTGCGCTTCCCAGCCTCCGCCCCTGGGCCCAGAGCCCCCCCATTCTCAGTCGGGACCAGCAACTGCTCACGCTCGCCCGTGGCCTTGGGTAGGGGCAGGGCCAGTGGAAGCCTTAACTAAAGGGCTGAGTCCTCGATGCTGGAATTGCAGGTACCGAGTGAGGTGGGAAGGACAGGGGACAGAATTGCTTGAGAAGGACCCCTGAGAGTCCCTGAATCACTCCTGCGGGCAGCCGCCCGGTGCGTGGGAGAGCGAGAACACACGTGCCCGGCCAGGGGCCACACAGCTGGTCACCCCGCGACCTGGGGCTGCTCTAGAATCCCCTGAGGGGCCTGGAAGGAAGGTTGAGGGGTGGGAGGCTGGGACCCCTCCTCACCCGAGCCTGACACTGCTACACACCTGGGTTTGGCTGGGGCGAAGGCAGGCCGGAACTGTGGTGACGCAGACAGCGCCTAACCCGCAGAGCGCCGGGAGGCAGAGCAGCGCCGCTCAGCTGCCAGGGCCCGGGCCGCTCCAGGCGGTGCACACCTGGGAGCGCCTGCTACAACTATATTCTTATAGCTGGACATCGCTATGTTAATGTACATGTAACACACACATATGTGTGTTCATTCAGCTCTTGAAATTATCCTCAGTAGACAGATGAGACTGAGAGAACAATGAGAACAGTTAGAAAGTTTACCCAGTGGTAACTTGTACAGCTGTCAGTGCTCTGGGGTCGGCCCTCTTTTGTTTCTTGTTTGTATTACCAGAGTCCACACTCTTAATCATGACATAACACATGGTTATCGGACACACACACCACACACGTGCGCCAAAAGCCACCAGGTGCCTGCCCAGCCACCTTATCAGGCCCCCAAGCAGAATGGCCACAGCTGTGCCTGTGCTCACGCCGGCCCCGTGGGATGCAGAAGGCGGGTCACGTGCACAGGAGCCTTTGTATAGCCCCACCACGCAGGCTGCCATTGTCTTCTGCCATCGGACCCGCCACTGCCACCCACACCAGTGTCCCGCTCGCCATGGAGAAGGTCCTGGTCCTCCTGCTCATCGCCCTGTCAGTGGCCTGTGCAGCTCCCGACCCTCGGGGGATCCTCATCAGCCTGGTGAGGGGGTCTTCGGCAGGGGTCGGGGTGGCCGTCGGAGTCCCCAGGTGGGGATGTGGCAAGCGTGGCCCCCGACCCCGACGCTCCCACCTGGGCTGCGGGGCGTGGGCGGGTTGGAGCAGCACCTGCACCTCTGCCCTCACTGCCTGGGCAGCACCAGCCGGCGCATGCGCAGAGCGGTGCTTCCGCCTGGCCCAGGGAGCCTCACGGAAATGCAGAGGCCTGGGCTCCGCCCGGGAAACCCTGATTCCACAGTCCAGTGGTTTAAAGTGCTCCACCAAGGATTCCAGCCTGTGACCTACAGCGGCACCTTCCTTACTGTGTTCCAGACACAGTTCTGGAGGCCCGGGAACGTTCACTCAGTCCTCACAACCACCAGGGACGTGGAGGTTCAGAAGGAAGCTGGCTGATGGGCACAGGGCTGAGGGGCGCAGGGCTGATGGGTGCAGAGCTGAGGGCAGGGGGGGCTAGGGTGGAGCCGGGCGGGCTCTGGTCGTGCTCCCGCCACTGCCACCACTGCCTCTCCACGGGGGCACGGCCGGGAAAGCCTCTCCGGGCCACCCACCCAGTCCGAAGGTTCTTAACTCTTAACTCAGGGCCATGATGGGTGTGCAGGGGCCAGGACCCCCGTGCGACCCCATGGAGCAGTCTGTGGGGGACGGAGGGGTCTTGCAGGGAGATGATCTTAACTTTCACAGGCTCCTCAAAGGAGTGTGGGACCCGGAGATGTTTGGAAGCCTATTTGGGGGCCACATGTGCACATTCCAGATGGGAACACTGAGGCCTGGGGGCAGGGGCTGGCCCAGGGCCACCAGGGAGCAGGTAGCACAGCTGGTACTGGAACCCCAGGGTCCTGGCCCCACCCAGCCTGGGGCAGCTTCTCTGTCACCACATGCCCACGTCCCACACAGGTGGCAGGGCAGACAGGCCACCAGACCCAGGGGCTGGACTCCTTGGCGCATGCCCCCAGCAGGGGAGGCACGGTGGGCGGTCGTGGGTGGTGGGGTGGAGGTCTGGGTGGACAAGGGGCCTGGAGGAGGGGCCTGGGCTGATGGGCTATCCCTGCCCCGGGCAGGATGAGGGTGAGCTCTGCATGAACAGCGCCCAGTGCAAGAGCAAGTGTTGTCACCGTACGAGCGGGGTGAGCCTGGCCCGCTGCGCACCCAAGGCCAGCGAGAACAGCGAGTGCTCCGTCAAGGTGGGTGCTGGAGCAGTGGGCTTGGGTCGGGGAGGACGGGGAGGGGTAGCTCAGAGGAGGAGAGCCCTGGAGGCTGGGGGTGGGATCAGGGAGGAGGAGCAGCCTGGAGGCTGAATGTGGAGGTGACAGGGAGTCAGAGTACTTTCCCATCCCTCCCGTCATCGCCCTGGCCCCTCACAGCGGAGCAGTGAGACGGGTGGGGCAGGGATGGTTATCCCCATTTCATGATGGGCAAATAGAGGCTCCCCAAAGAGATCAGGTTAGTGCGAGCAATGAGCCAGAGTGGAGACCTGGTTCTGGTCTCCCAGGCGCACAACACCCCCCCAGCCCACCCCCGGGCAGCCGTCGGGAGAGACACTATCTGACACGACGCAGGGGCTGGCTGGTTGTCTGGCTCAGGCAGGGGCGAGTGTTGCCCAAAGTGGACCCCCATGGCCAGTAACCCCACTGCCTCCGTGTCTCTGCAGACACTCTATGGGGTTTACTACAAGTGTCCCTGCGAGCGGGGCCTGACCTGTGAGGCGGACAAGACCATCGTGGGCGCCATCACCAACACCAACTTCGGCCTCTGCCTTGATGCCGGGCGCTCCAAGCAGTGAGACCACCCGCCACTCCTGCCCCCGGCCCCGCACACTGCGGGACGCTGGTCCAGGGCCACCTCTACCCTCCTCTGCCCCCCCTGCCTGGTTGGCCACCTCCCTGACCAGCGACTCTTTTCTCACTGGGCTCCTGGCAATTAAAGCCGCCTGCAAACCTTGCCCGCCTCCCGCATGTCCTTGCTGCGCCGGCGTCCCCCTTGAAGTTGCACCCAGCCTTTGCCACCAGGGCAGGCTTCAGCCGGGCCAGAAGAACAGGGGGTCAGGCCGGGGAGGCTGTGGCCGAGCAGACTGGACAGTAGAGACAAGGCTGTAAGGAGGCCCCGCCGGGCTGGAGCCTCTCCATTTCTGAGGAGCAGTCACGCCTGCTGGGACGCCCTTCCTGCCCCTCACGTTCGGAGAGAGACAGGCAGGTGTGTGCACGCTCACACTCACGCACACACACTCACGCACACAAACTCACACTCACACACACTCACACGCACACACTCACACACACGCACTCACACACACACTCACATTCACACGCACTCACACACACGCACACACACATTCACACACACGCACACACACACTCACACACACGCACTCACACACACGCACTCACACACTCACACTCACACACACACTCACACACACACACTCACACACACTCACATTCACACGCACTCACACACACACATTCACACTCACACACACACTCACACACACACTCACACACACTCACACACACACGCACTCACACACACACACACACTCACACACACTCACATTCACACACACACATTCACACTCACACACACTCACAGACACACTCAAACACACACTCACACACACACACTCAAACACACACACACTCACACACACATTCACACACACACTCACACACATTCACATTCACACTCACACACACACACACACACACACTCACACACACTCACACGCACACACACACTCCCCTCTGGCAGGGGCGCAAAGGCTCATGCCCAGTGCCCCGCACCAGAATTCACCAGTCCCGTCTGCGGCTCCGCCCCTTTCCTGGGCCCAGCCCTCAGACGTAAGAGCGGCTGGCGCCCCCATGCCTGGCGGTCAGACCTTAGCACCTGCCGTGGGCCTACTCCGTGCACCCATCCTCGCAGCGATGCCAGGACGGGGACTCATCACCTCCACTTTACAGATAACTAAGTTTCAGAGACGTTAAGGAACTCGCCCAGTGTCACAGGATTGGAAAGAGCTGCCACTGCGCCCACCTACTCCACCCCCTACCCTTCCTATGGGTCCCTGTTCTTTGCCCAATTAGTCACACTAAGAAGAAGGGGTGGAAGTCGTAAGGAATTTAATTTTGACTCAATATAACAGTGTCCTAGCCCCTGGAGCTCTGGAGCACGCGTCACCTCAGGCAGTCCTGCGGTCCCCACCACCCAGGTGTGCGGGTGGCGCTCAAGACCCCCTGGTTGGACTGGAGAGTCACACCAAGGGCGGGGTGGTGACCTGAGTGAGATTTGGTGTCCTCCCAGCCCAGGGCTCCGAGGTCTGTGACGACGAGCCCCGGCAAGCACAGGCTTAGGCGTCAGGACCGCATTCGGCACAAGCTGGCAAAGCCCGCTGCTTACGGCGGACGCACACAGGACTGTGCGTTTCTCGCGAGTCCCGCAGTGTAGAGGCGGGAGGGGCCGGCGTTGTTTGGTGTCTGGCGGCTCCCAGTTCTCCCGACCTCTTCGACCTCTTCGCGGTTGGCAGATGCCATTGCAGCCGCTCCCGGCGTCGTGGTACCCTCTCGCCATGTTCTGGGGGGGGCGAGGGGCGGAGCGTTTCTTCTTGCAAACCCTCTTGTCTTTCCCCACAGCCTCCGCGTGGACGTCTGCCCGCATTTCCGCGGGAGACCTGGCTCATCTGGCCGCTCCACCTGCAGGGAGGTGCGAAGGCACCTGGCAGGGGTGGGGACCCTGGGACCTTAAGGCCAGTGTGGCCTTCTAGGTCCTTAAAGTGCAGCCTTTTGAATAAATCCAAATTTTACAGAACAGATCCTTTTTTTTTTATTTTTTTATTTTTTTTTTTTGAGACAGTCTCACTCTGTTGCCCTGGCTAGAGTACCGTGGCGTCAGCTCAGCTCACAGCAACCTCAAACTCCAAAGTAATCCTGCTGCCTCAGCCTCCCAAGTAGCTGGGATTACAGGCATGTGCCACCACCAGGCTCATTTTTTCTATGTTTTTAGTTGGCCAATTAATTTTTTTCTATTTTTAGTAGAGACGTGGTCTTGCTCTTGCTCAGGCTGGTTTCGAACTCCTGAACTTGAGTGATCCAACCCCCTGGATTCCCAGAGTGCTAGGATTCCAAGCGTGTGCCACCACTCCTGGCCCAGATCCTTTTCTTAAAATGGGTGAAGCAGAGAAAGACGAAGCTTTTCTGCTTCCTTTGGTGCTTAAAAATGAGCAGCCTTGAAATCAGAAGGCTGCAAGTCCCCACCCCTGTGTGGCTGCTGGGGAAGCAGGTCACAGCGTCAGCCACACCTGAGTTAGTGCTCCACAAGAGGGGCTTTCGGTGCCTTAACTCAGTGGGGGATTCAGGCCCCGAGGCAGGGGTGGGTCATATTTCTTGGTTCCCAGATTCAGGCCTGGGGGAAACCGGCATGCATGTCTTGGTATGTCTACTGAGTGACCATAGTGTGCCCAGCACTGTGTTTTAGACTGTTGGGGACTCAAGGAAAATGTCCCCAGTTTCCAGAAATGAGTACTGAGTTGGGCTCTGCAGAAGCAAGTAGCCAAGACCCCAATTATCTGTTCCCTCGTATTAAACCCTTTCTCCTTGAAATACCTACAGTGATTGTTTTTCTACACTGAAGCCAATGCAAGTCTGCCTGCAGCAGGGGAGCATTTGTTATCATTGTGGCTGTTGGTCAAAAGCACCTGCCTCACTAAGCCTTGAGCCCAGAGGATGCACATAAGGATGTCACATGGGCTGTAGCCTCGCCACTGACACTTTCCACCTTAACACTCTAATGCCAGGCGTTCCCTGTCTTCTTGTTACTACTTTCTAGATCTGCCAGCTATTCAGCTGTAGAAGCAGGGCTGTTTGCAGCCTTGAGTCCATAAAACATTCCTAACGCTGGCCCCGTAGACCCACGCCATCTGATAGGCTGGGTGCTAGCTCTTAGCCAGCCACGAGTGGCTGTTGAGCACTTGAAATGTGGCTTATCTGAATCGAGAGAGATGTAAAATACAAGCTGGGGTTTGAAGACTTATTACTAAAAGAAAAAAAAAGGTAAAATATTTCAAATATTTTCATATGTTGAAATGATATTTTTATTGGGTTATAAATGAAATAGATTATCAAAATTGATTCCACCTGCCTCTTTTTAGTTTTCCTTTTTTAATATGGCTATTAGAAAATTTAAAATAATTGATGTAGCTCTCACTTGTTTCCACTGGACCGTGCTGCTGGAGCCTTGAGTGTGGGTACTTGTCAACATGTCAGGTGGCTTGTCTCTGATTAACAGACTTCCATATATATATATGTATATATATATATATATTTTTTTTTTTTTTTGAGACAGAGTCTCGCTTTGTTGCCCAGGCTAGAGTGAGTGCCGTGGTGTCAGCCTAGCTCACAGCAACCTCAAACTCCTGGGCTCAAGTGATCCTCCTGCCTCAGCTTCCCAAATAGCTGGGACTACAGGCATGTGCCACAATGCCCGGCTGGTTTTATATATATATATTAGTTGGCCAATTAATTCGTTTCTATTTATCATAGAGACAGGGTCTCGCTCTTGCTCAGGCTGGTTTCAAACTCCTGACTTCGAGCAATCTGCCCGCCTCGGCCTCCCAGATCGCTAGGATTACAGGCGGGAGAGACTTCCTTATCTTAACTTAAGACATTCCAAGCCTTTAGACAAAGCTTCATTTCTTTCACAAATTACAAATTAAAGAATCTTTAAACCCACCCTAACCTGTAATGCCCCACTTCAAGATGTCCCGTCTTTACGGGCCAAACCAATGTACACCTTCCATGTATGGATTTATGACTTTACTTGTAATTCCTGTCTCTCTGAAATATATAAAACCAAACTGTGAGCCAACCGTGGTGAGACCACTTGCTCAAGGCTTCTTGGTGTGGCTCTCTGGGCCACGGTCACACATACTCAGCTCAGAATAAACCTCCTTAAATTGTTTAACTGAGCTTGGGTTCTTTTCCCGTGACAACTTTTATTGTATATTCAGTCTTTTATTGGTTTTTACTTTTATAAAAGTGTAGTTACAAGACCTTTTATAGTTCACTACCAACCTTAGCTCTCTTTACAAGGCGATTGTGTTCCAAATGAATTCTACACATTTAAGGAGGACTTAGTATTATAGAAGCAGCTTTGCCTACACTTAGAAGGTTTCCTTCTCTGCCAGTGAGGAAAACAGAATCTACTCTAGGTATTTAAACACGGAGAATTTAACACAGGGAATCAATCGCACAGGTGACAGAGGAGCCGAGACAGCGGAGCCGAGAAACCAGACTGGGGGGTGAGACGACTGGGAGATTCGCAATGCTGGGAGCCTCCAATGACGCCACGGCTTGAGGAGCAATGCGAGACGCCATGTGAATGAAGTTGGCAGCACCAGGAAGAGTGTAGAGGAGGGGCTGTCCTAAAGGAGCAGGTGCCATGGAGGAGACAAGGAAACTGCTGGTGGCATCGCCTGAAGCAGGGATGGGGGAAGGGAGATTTATGTGGTAACATCCTTACCCTGCCCTGCAGTCTTCAGCCAGACGGAAGAACCAGAGGACACAGGAGGCTGGGAAACGCGGTTCCCCAGGACACGGCAAGGGCAGGCGCAGGGCCAAGGGAGGTGACTGGCACTCCTTCCTCCCCAGCCCAACCGGCTTCGGGCTCTTCCCACTTCTGCCCCTCCCACTCTCAGATCTGGCTTCAGGGTGCTTACCTGAAGCCAGAGGGGGGGTTTGGGGAATGGGGCCCAGTCATACTCGCCACAAATTAAACCCGGGTTAAATGTCTAGGGTGGGGAGACACATCATTCTGGGAGAAGAAACTCATAATTTTCCTTTGTTTTTATTTTCAATCTCCATGAAAATTTTGCCATTTTTCACTTCTTGCAGAAAAGAAAGCTATGACTTGGTCACGGATCTAGATATAGATAGGTGCAAAGGCAATTCCGGAACAGAGATGTTTTCTGTCTCTGGAAGGCGTGGTATGGACGTATGAGGGGGATTGTGGGTAAGAGCCTGGCCTCGGGTCCCAGCTTCACCCCTTACTCTGGAAGTGTTACACTCTACCTGTAAAACAGGGATAAATACAGTATCTGCTGCTACCTCATTGTGACAATAAGATGAGTTAAGACAGTTACGAAAGCACAGTGTCTGGAACATAGCAAGCGCTCAATAAACCTCAGCTGTGAGTAGGCAACACCTGGAACTTTCATGGCTCCTGGGAAGGAATTCAGCCTGACAGCCATGGGGCTGCCCCGCCTCTGGACTTCTATGTCTGACCATCAAAAACCCCTCATCATCTGGGCAGTTTGGGTTGGTGTTTTATATACTTAAAGCAGAAAGAGTCCCACTGATACCCCGACATCGTGACCTGGGATAAGTCATGAAGCTCCTCTGAGCCTCAGTTCTTTTTTTGTTGTTGTTGAGTCAGAGTCTCACTCTGTTGCCCCAGCTAGAGTGCCGTGGCGTCAGCCTAGCTCACAGCAACCTCCAACTCCTGAGCTTGAGAAATCCTTCTACTTCAGCCTCCCGAGTAGCTGGGACTACAGGCATGCGCCACCATTCCTAGCTAATTTTTTCTAGATATTTTTAGTTGGCCAATTATTTCTTTCTATTTTTAGTAGGGACAGGGTCATGCTCTTGCTCAGGGTGGTCTCGAACTCCTGACCTTGAGCGACCTCCCAGAGTGCTAGGATTACAGGTGTGAGCACCTCACCCAGCCTTGAGCCTCAGGTCTTTATCCACACAACCGAACTGATAATACCCCAGAGAGCTGAGACCTCAAGGCGCCAAGCCCCTTCACGCCCACAGGCGGAGCTCTGCATTCATACCCCACACATTCTCACACTGCCCTAAGGATCTCCACCCTTTTGCCTCCCCCACAAAACATTCAGATACCCCCACTCAGTCCTTCCCCACCACACCCTACCCACGGCACCACAGCGTACACCTCCAGGCACGCTCAGCCCTGCCCCTCCCCCAAGCCTCCAACCCAAGAGTTGGCCTGGACCCACCCCCTCATCCCTGTCCTTGTCCCCCACACCCTCCCCGCCCCAGTCCCTTCCTGCAGTCCCCGCTGAGCTCCCACAGGGCCAGACTCCATGAGGCGCTCTTTCATGTCTCCGGTTTCCCTCCTGCCTTCCTGGGACCGGACAACCCCCCAGGGCTCCTCTCCCAGAAAGTGCAGTCAGACGCCAGAGCCAGGAAGTGATTTTAATGTCACAGGAGCCGGATTTGGAGCAAGCTGGGTGCGCCCAGGGCCTCTGGCCCCAAGGGAGGGAGGAAGGTGCAGCGGTGACCAGTCTGTGTCCTCCTCTAAAACATATGGCACCGACGGGGACACATCAGGTCCTTGGATATGCAATTCAAGCCCAGGAGGCATGGGCAGATGATGTTGATGGCTCCCTTGGTCTGCAGGAAGTAGGTATGAGAGTTGGGAGTCGCCAGGACACAGGAAGGAAGGGGATTAAACTTGTGGGCAACCAGGAGCAAGAGCCCCGTGCTGCAGCGAGCCGGACCCGCGGTCTGCGGCTCTACGGCTGGGACTGCGCGGGCTCGGGCAAGCTGCCGAGCCCCTCCAGCCCAGTGTCCTCGGCTGTGAAATAGAGTAAGCAGCAGGACATATCGCACAGGGGTGTTGTGAGCACTACAGGAGGTGAAGTAGGTGCCCATAATGCAAAGACCCTCTAGCCACTTCAGCTGTGGGGCAGGCCACGGCAGGGACCCTGCCGATTCCTTAGGGCACTGGCAGCTCCCCAGACAGGAACATGGAGGCTGGGCCCATCTTCCTTAGAGAGGTTTGGGCCCAGGGCCAGGTGAGCGGGAACAAGAGGTACTGTGCCTTCTGCTCTTGGCGTTTCTACCAGCTACTAACAACAGTGCTCGATTGAGCACTGTCCTCGCCAGGACCTGTACTCGTCCCGGTAACCTGGTGCGGTAGGTAGTTTAGCCCCACTTTGCAGATGAGGAAACTGAGGCTCAGAGAGCCCAGGTGACCTGTCTGAGGTCATAAAGACAGGGGGTAGAATAGCCAGGATTTAAACTCAAGTCCAACTCCAAAGCTAAGGTCCTGCCACTGCAGTGCTATACTCCTCTCACGAAATTAGGCCATTTGGGCAGGGAGATGAGGATTGGTAGTAAGGTCTTTTCCCACCTACCCTGCCTTGGTGGTTAGCGTAAAGACAATTACTCATTCAACAAGCATTTGTTGAGCATCTACTATGTGTAGGCACTAAGCTGGGGGCCGAGACTTCATAGATAAATAGGATGCAATCCCTGCTCTTAAAGAGCGCCAACTGCCAATCAGGGAGACGCGTGCTCAGCTGAGGGGATGAGCCCAGCGCATGGGCGCTCTGAGGAGGGAAGGCTTCTCAGAGGAGGTGGCTGGAGTTGTGCTGCAGGATGAGTAGGAGTCTGCCCGGTGGAAAAGGGGGTAGGGGCACTCCAGGCAGAAGGCACAAAAGCAGGTGGGGACACATGTTTTTTTGTAACCTCCCCCACCCCTTCCCTACTTGCCAGGAGGAACTGCCTCGCCCCGCCTCACCTGGGGCAAACAGGCCATAGTTGTCCTGGCCTTGGGGGCACAGAAGGCTCCACCAGCCTGCAGGTCCATGAGGCAGCAGTCAGTGTAGCACTCAGAGTGGTGGGAGCACTTGTCCCCGGTTTTCTGTGGGGACAGGCAGGATGTCTGCCAGGCTGCAAACAATCCCGGAGAAGCCATAAGATTGTCACCTCCAGGTTCCACCCCACACCCCTCCCCTAGCAGGGCTGGACAAGCAGGGAAGATGAGAAAGGGGGACTGGGGGAAGGTTTAGCACGTTGACTCTCCTTTCCTGGGCCTCCCTCACTGCCATGGGTCCCAAGAGTGTCCTGTGCTGGGTGGGGGGGCAGATACTCTCAGATCACACTTGAGTGGGGGGGAAGGGAGGGAGGGAAGAAAGAGTCATTGTGCCTAAGGTCACTAGGCAGTGGGGTAGGAGGGAAGGACGGGAGAAACGGGAGCAGGTGGGGAGGATTTGGAAGAGAACCCTGGGCTGAGACCCTCAGGAGGGGGAGGGGCGCTGACGGTGCTGGTCATAGGCCAACTTCTCTCACCTCCAAGGCCGTCAGGGGAAGGTGACACAGCCTTTGAAGTCCCTTCGGGATTCCCCCAAGCTTCCTGCCTGGGCATAAAATCCCCAGTTTGGGGGTGGTTCAGGTCCCCACCTCTCCCTCCAAAGCTACCCAGCATCTCTGCCCCACTGCCTAGGATGCCCCGCTGCCACTCCTGTCGCATGCCGGAAGGTTCGGGAAGGTTCTTTCGGCTCACCTTCTTATCCTGCACAAGCCCGCCCCAGCAGGGGAGCAGGAGCCCTGCGAGGAGCAGGAAGGCAGTGGCCATGCCTGGGTGGCAGAGACGCGTGGGGACCGGAGGGGCCGTGGGAGAAACCCCCTGTCGCTGCCACATGACCCGCCCGGCCGCCCTCGCAGAGGAGGAGGAGGAAGGGGGGACAGGACGTTCTGCGCTCAGACTGCCTGGCCCACGGCCACGGCGCCGGCCGCCCCCCTAGCCTCTGGGAGGGTGGAAGGAGGAAGGGCACTCTGGCCTCCCACAGGCAGGATTCTAGACCATAGAAGCCCTAGGGCCTCCTTATAGGTTACTTCTGAATAAAAGCTGGGTTTTTTTCCTTCAGAGACAGGGTCTCCCTCTCTTGCCCAGGCTGTAGTGAGGTGGTGTCATCACAGCTCACTCCACGCAACCTCTAACTCCTGGGCTCAAGCGATCCTCCTGTCTCAGCCTCCCAAGTAGCTGAGACTACAGGCATGCTCCACCACCAATGCTGGCCTCCAAATAAAAACTTTAAACTGTAAAATAAAAATTTGTTTTTAAAAACTACACAATACTGGCCTGGAACAGTTGCTCAAGCCTATAACCCCAGCACTTGGGAAGGCAGGAGGATCACTTGAGCCTAGGAATGCAAGCCCAGCCTGAGCAACACAGCAAGACCCCATCTCTACAAAAAAATAGAAAAATTAGACCACACACCTGTAGTCCCAGCCACTGGGGAGGCTGAGGCAGGAGGATCGCTTGAGCCCAGGAGGTTGTAGTGAGTTGTAATTGTGCCTGCCTGGATGACTGAAACAGACCTTGTCTCTTAGAAAGAAAGAAGAAAGAAGAAAAAAGAAAAGAAGAAGGAAGGAGAAGGAAGAAGAAGAGGAAGAAGGAGGAAGGAGAAGGAAGGAGAAGAGGAAGGAAGCCACACAAAACTTACATGCTGGAATAAAAAGAACTTCCTCCCCGATGCTGATTCTCTCTCTGCCCTTGCCCCACCGGGTCTCCCAGTGACGCTGCGATACCCCGCCCGCCGCTGCCCCTCGCCCGTAAGCAGCAGCAGGCCGGACCAGATGGCCTCTCAGTCCCAAATCTCCTCCAGTCCTAATGGTTCTATGACTTGTCTAAGAATCCGTCTGTGAACTGTGTGGCAGCCAAGATGTGGGCGCAAAACGAGGGGCAGGAGAGGAGCTCAGTGGGGGGTCAGAGCAGCCTGCACTCCGCGTGGGGACCTGGGGCAGACTTCCTTGGGACTCCCCTCGCCATCAAACTTCCACCTCGCCCCGCCTGCCTGCTTCTGCTTCTATTTTCTTATTTTTATTTACTTTTTATTTTTTATTATCATGGGTACATAACAGTTGCGTATATTGGTATGGTAATGTGGTGTTTTGGTACAGGTGTCCCATGTGTAACAATTGGATGGGGGCGATGGGGGTATCCATCACCTCAAGCGTTTGTCATTTCTTTGTGTTAGGAACATTCCAATCCCACTTTCTTAAAGTATGCCATAATTTAGTGTTGGTTCTCTTTAAAATTTTGCTTAAGAAACAATCTGAGAAAAAAAAAAAAAAAAGAAACAATCTGAGGAGCCCTGTCTTGGTGGAGAACTTAGGTCTTTTCTCCAAAAGTAACAGGCCCCGCTGTGCCCAGAGAGCTTTACATCCATTGTCTCCTGAGCCCTCCCTGCCTTGGCACTGGCTGTCCCAGAGTAAGTAACACCAGCTTTCCCAACAGAACTGCGAAATTTCAGTGGCTTAGCACAGCAGTGCTTCATTTACCACTCACGTAAAGTCTGATTTGGGGCAAGAGACCTTCTTCTGCCTTGTGTGTGCCCGAGCCAGGTGGCACTTCCTTTCCAAACAGACCATCGGCCAGAACAAGTCACATGAACCCGACCTTCTGCAAGGCAGGCTGAAAAATTCAAGGGATTCTTGGAATATTTAGTATGTGCTATTGCTCCTGCCATGTAACCGTCATCTCGACCATACGGACAAGGAGCCTGAAGGCTCAAGGTAAAGTCCCTTGTCCACGCACCGCAACTAAATGGCAGAGTCAAATGTAAATCCCAGGCATCTGAGCTATGGAGTCCAAGCTCTCACCAGTGTTCTACACTGCTTTGGGCAGCCAGAAGTCTTTGTCCCCAACAATAGGATTCCCGTCGTTACTGTGTCCCGTCCCTCTGGCAGTCACGGTCTAAACTCTCTTCAGATATGTGTTCAGCCACCATGGTGCCCAGTTCCAGCTGGGTCAGAGCCACTTAGGCTGGTGCAGTGTCCCTGTGAGCTGGAGAGGAACCCAGGGGTGCATGCTTCCTTGTGTCACTTACCACTGTCCCTTGCCCATCCCCTTGCCAGCGTTGGATACTTGGTATTGCTGACAGCTTAGGAAAAGGGTGAATTTGAGGGCAAGAGGCCAGCAGCTGTGTGTCAGGGCTGGCAGCCCCTGGGAAGTCCACTGAAGGCCCGAGGGGGTGGTGGAGCCCCTGAAATTCTATGCAAGATATTGTGTGCATGACTCCCCTCCCTATAAACTAGAGGGCCACAGCTTTCCTCAGAAATGACTGGTGCAGAACCTGTACTTTAAGTCGAGGAAACTGCAGCCCAGAGAGAGAAGGGACTTTGCCAGGTGACTCAGCTGTGAGCAGCAGAGCAAGGCCCAGAGCCCAGACTCCTGACTCCACATCCTGTGCTCGCTCTCCTGTACCGATGGCCTGTCTCCAAAATCCGGCCCGGCCCTGGTCACAGGCACAGGTCCAGGACGCCTCTGCAGTGTGCGGGGTGGGAGCCAGCTCACCAGGATCGCCAGGGGGTGGCACGGGGGGGGGGTGTCACTGAACTACCTGACCTGTGAGCCTGGCCACAGCTCTGCCCCTCGGCCAGACCCCAAAACTGGCCACCCCAGACATCAGTGAGGAGAACGAGGGTCAGTTGAGGGCAGAGGAGACCTCGCTAGTGGACCTCTGTCCCCATTCTCTGTCCCTTCACCTGCCCTCCCTGACATTCTCTGGTGTCTTCTTCACTCCTGCATCTTCCTGGTGGCCCAAGTGGTGGTTTCCATGGCAGTGTCCTCACTGGTCTTCAGCAAAATGAAAAAAATAAGGGTAATGTAGTAGTGTTTTTGTTAACGGCAAGTGTATTTAGTTTAAGAGTAATTCTTTATTCTGAAATTATATCCTTCCTACTTTTTTGGTGTTAAAATACACTTTTAGGAAATGATGGCAATGATACAATAGTTTTGTTTCATTTTCTATGTTGTGATTTGGCCAAATGCACAAATTCTGTCAGTCCCTATAATTTTTTTTGGAAGTTTTATTAGTTTGTGAAATCCAAAATAAAATTCTGGAGGCAAATGACCTAGTGGAAATTGCCCACGACTCAGTCCATTCCCGAAGGATCTGTCTGAGGCCCCTGGGCAGCTGGGTGACGGACAAGTCCGTGCCCTGAGGTTTGAAGGCCGAGACGGATCAGCAAAGGCTCCCTAAAACAAGGACCCACGGGAGGAAACGTGGGAGGTGCAGAGGTGGAGGCACCGAGGTCCCACGCAGGACACGCAGGGTACCCAGGGCGTCCTGGGGCCAAGCAGGAGGGGCCGTCTTCTTTTGCTAAGTCTCGAGGGGCCTGGGTTGGGGCAAGCAGGGGCTCGGGGCTTCCAAGTAGGGCTACCGAGTGAGAGTGAGCAGAGTATGTGGATGGGACAGCGAGGAGAGGTGTCTACTGTGGAGGGATGCAGACTCAGGGCAGCCAGTGCCCCGGGGAACTTGGGGCACCATGAGAGTGACCCCAGTTGAAGTGGCTCCTCAGTGGAAAACTGGGCTGGTGGTGGCAGTGCCGGAGTCAGGGCAGGGGGGCCCTAGCCGGAGAGCCAGGCATAGGGGGTGAGCGTGGGGCTGCCCTGCCCTGTCTGTGAGAGTGAGAGGCCGGCATGCCCTGAGGGAGATCAACTCAGGCCCAACTTCCGCAAACCCTTGTCCTCACCCACGCCCACACGGAACCAGGGGCAGGGCTCGGAACACACAGCTCTCATTTTATTTCTCCCAGGACAGGCTGGCCGGGGCGAGGGGCTGTCAGCTCCGCCTGGCGGGAAGACGGGCCTGGAAGGAGAGGAGGGCGCTGACTGGGAGCCTCCTCCCAGGCCTGGCTGTGCCCTCAGGCCCCGGGCCCTGGAGGACAGAAGCGAGCAGTTACACCTGGCGGCCAGGTGTGTGCCCCCTGCTTTCCACCCATGGAGGTGAAGGAGCTTCTCCAAGCAGGTTGGCCTAGGGCAAGAGCTGCCTCAGAGCGGCCAAGTAGGGCTCCCCTCAACCCCTGTGTTCAGGGGAAGTGTCCATGCAGCAGAGATGTCCCAAGGGAGGACGTAGCAGAAGGATGCCCTGACCTGGCGTTCTGCCCACAGACTCACTGGCACCAGGTGACCCGAGGCTCTTCCTTCTCCCACGGTGTGAGTCCGAGCCACATTAGTGCCAGAGCCCCTGGGTCACCTCGGGGAGCCGAGGGGTAATCTCAATTCCTTTAGCAGCCACTGAAAGAAACACAAGCCAAACTAAGTTATTTAAAAAACAAAAGCCAAAAGAAGCAGCACTAGGTCAGTAGCTACACAAGGCTGGCCTCAGGAGAACAGAGACGCAGGCGTTGACACCAGGTGTCTCTCTCCGTTTCCTGTCCAATGGGAGACTACCTCTATGTGGACAGCGAGGGGAAGGGAGCTAAGCTGTGCCACGCTCCACACAGCTCCCTTCAGAGACCACATAGAAAACCCTAGAAGACCACGGGGACCAGGGACTTTTATTGGCAGAACCTCATGGAGCCTGAACAGGGCAGGTTCCCAAAGCCAGGGAGACGGGAAGTGGATGCCACATAGAATTACAGGTGTCTGTGACATCCCAGCTTGCCACACTGAGGATTGTTCTGCTTTAAGACCATGCCTGGATTCAGGAACGGCTCCTTGAGGGCAGGAAGGAGCCATGGACATGAGCCTTTAGCCAGGGCAACACCTAAGGAAGGGTGTTGGAAACTTGCACTCACCACCCCCAACCCCAAGAAGCCTTGAGCTACATGTTATAGAACAGTGCA